ATATATTAGCATGTCTAAGCTTATTAAACTCTGAATTACTGACATGCAGAATGAAAAAAAAAATAGAATACAAACAACTTCTTTTGGACCAGAAAAAAAGGCGCATTTGAAAAATACAAAATCATTTTAATGTTTGAGTGTATTTATTTCCTCAAGGACTGTGTGTACTTTCTAACATTTAGGGAATCTAAACTGAATAAATGATCCTTCATTAGAATTCTCTGAGAAAATTCACACACGTAAATAAGAAAATAAGCATTTTTGTCCTAAGTGCAGTTACATTTACAAGTTAGATGTCAACTTAATGATGCTAACCTTTTGAACACTTGAAATCAATATATTTTATACATCCACACTTTGGATTGATTTAAATCAAAGCTGATTTTAATCAGCAAACAGGAAACACTAATTTAAATAACAGATTTTAATCTTGTTTTTCCATTTAAATTTTTAGTTATTTCTCCATTTGTGGGTGACCATTAAAGCATGCTGATTTGCAACTAAATATAAAACTTTTATACCAGATTTCTTTTTGCTAAGCAAGAAGATATATTACACATTCATGTAAGCAGTTATATATCTTAACTTACATTTTTCAGATTCCTAAATTTTACATTTTTTATTATCGTGAATGGTGCATTTACTTACTAGATGATTACTAATTTTTTACTCGTGATTTATGTCAAGGTCTATTTGGATGGAAATTCAAATTCAACTAAATATGCATAATAACAGCATTTTAATTTGTATTTATGTATTTATTAGTAGTAGTTAAATAAAACTACCTTAAATGTGCAGGATACATAAGAAAAAAAGTTTATCAAATCATGTTTTGCATTTAATACTGATTTATTAAACAAAGAATCTGTAATCAGAGAACTGCAGTGATTGTTTCTGGTCAACATGTCCTTCAAGATTTTAGAACTAGTAGATCTCATCCTTTCACACCTAGTTTCTATTCACAGAATGAAAGAGGAAAACAAGCTTTCCTGCTTTCCCAATTGGTTTCTTAACTTTGAATGAAGTAGTCATTGAACTAACCTAGCTGAATAAACAGAAATGAAGAAAATATTCACTCTGCACTGCAGAAAGGCTGTCAAAAGTTGGTTTTACACTTCAGTAAACTCTGGTTCCACATGCTTAGCCAGTGACTTCCCCAGTTAAGTGGTTTGACTTTCTTTAAAACTTAAGCAGCAAACATGTACTGCTTAATATGATTTTTTAATTTAATTTAAATGATTGTAATAAATTATATAAATTTAGGCCTTAACATAATTTTTCAAAGTTTCAAATTTCATTTTAAATGTTTATTTAAAAAAATAAATCTGTATTTAATGTAAATTAAAGGATCCAATTTAAAGAAAAATATCCAATTTTAATTTTTAAGGGTTTTTTAACTATGGATTTTTATCCACTATGTATATCAATCTAGAACTGCATTAATGTTAAAGACTAGGAAACCATAAACTTAAAACCACAAAATGAATCTTATCTCTATCCTTGGTGTATCAGCCTTAAGATATCTTTCTGTATCTGCCTCTTTATATCAGTTTATTGTATTTGTTAAATAAAACATAAAATACTACAAACTTAAAATTCTCCTAAAACTCTACAAATTGGAACTTTATCTTCTGTACATATACATTACATACACTGTATGTGTTGTGCTGTACTATGCAGGATACAAATTATGCATCTAAACTGATAATATAATCTTTAAAATTCTAATACTATATTCTTCATCCTCTAGAGTTTCCATTTTTATCTTACTAATGTTATCTTTTATTTTGAAACAATGACATGGGATCTTCTTAGCCCTGTATTTGCACTGAAATCACAGAAATTCAATTGCTTTGTGTTAACAGAAATAATAAACCAAATACATATGGAAGATTTGTCACACCTTTGAACTCTATCATTTCTTTTAACCATTAATTTAGATCTTAAATATTTAAGCTGCACTGTAAAGATTTTGAAACAATGATTTCTTTTCAACTGGCATGGATCTAAGCCTTACCCACCAAAGAATCCATCAAAAGGCATAACTACACTTTCTTATTTGGTAACTCCCTTTAAAAATATATATTTATTTACCTTCATAAGTTTTTGGAGGTAACAAAGCCAAAATGTCATAAAGTCTTAAACGGACCATAGCTGCGCTAGCTTTAAGATGAGCTCCATGGGCTTTAATTACCGATGGAATGCTACAGTGTGAAAAAGAAGAGAATTATGTACAATCAAGCATTAATTATGTTATGATACCGGGCATTTACGAATGTTTTTAAAGTAAGTGGAAGTTGAGATAACAGTACACTGCTCAGAAAACTATTCTGAATAAAGTTACTCAGATTATTAATTTGTTTTCAGAAGTAACAGTACTGAGAGCATCTTTAACCCTGTACAAATCAAAGAGCAGATCAAAATACATTAGTAAACTATTGCTACTTTAAATTTATTTTTTTGTTTTGTTTTCCGTAATGTATATTTAAAACCTTTTCATCTATTGCATTGTATAATAGGCCACTTTTATTAAAAAACTTCATTTTTACTTCTAATTTCTTGATGTTCTTATTCTTTGTGAAGGGACTAAGGAATCAAGAATTTATTGAGCTGGAAATCCAAAATCAAAAAGGGAGTTTAAAATGACGAAGCCAAGTCAATTGTTGTATGCAGTGTTGTTGAAGCCATGTCAGTCCCAAAATATTAGGAAGACAAGGTGGGTGAAGTAATATCTTTTATTGGACCAACTTCTATTGGTGAGAGAAAATCTTTCAAGCTTACATAGAGCTCTTTTTCTTCTTCTTTCCCAGACCTACCTTGTCTCTCTAAAGAGAAGTCAAAACAGGCCCAAAATATAAATTATGTTTTGTAAAAGTTTAATCACAAAAGAACAAAATAAGTGTTTTCATGAAATTAAAAAAAAAAAAAAATCTATCTTACTTCAAGAAAAAGAAATGAGCATTGCTCTGTGGGCAATCCAAGGACTGCAACATAAGGTCACAGCATGAGAAACTACAAGTAAAACTAACTAGAAATACAAGTGAAACTTACTGAACCAATTTCAATATCCAGGCTCAATGAAAAGTAAAACTCAGACCTGAAACAGTGACAACTTAGATTTTTTTTTCCATTTTGATAATGTAAGCCACTGTTTGTAATAGCAGCAAAGATTTGTTTTAACAATGGCATTTTTAGCCTCAGACTGTCCCTTTAAAAATTATGCAGAAAGGAAGAGAATTTTAAAAGCTGTCTACTTACTGTGACATCATTGTCATGGCACATTCTATAGGTGTCATTAATTTTCTGATCACATCTTCAGTAAGGAGCTCAGGACAGTGAGCAACGAAACTCCTCATAGCTATCAATGTAAAACATTTCAGTCAAAGTTAAATTGCAATAGAAATGGAAATAAATTTCAGCAAGTAACCAAGCTACAGATGTTAACAGGATATCAAAAAAGAAAACGTTTAATCACATTTTAATTAACTCATAGGTCATAAAACAATTAGTAAGATTACACACTGAAAAAAATTAATTATGTAACAAGTTTTGTGCATGCTTTTTTAATTACTTTTTGATAGAAAGAGGTGAATTACAAATTCTCTGTATGAGTATGTTATTTGTGATGTTGAAATTAGCATACATCTAATGAAACAGGACATGAACTTTCACCACTTCTTTGTGATTCTTACCGCACAAAGCTCCAGCACGACCTTCCAATGTTACTTGCCAGGTAAAAGAGTCTCCTCGGGCTTTCTCTGCTTCTAGCTCCTTTAGAGAACGAGGAAATACATTTCGCCATAGCAGCAGCATCTTAGGTAGATGGTACCGAACAACTGAAGGACCTAGCCAAGGAAATGTTTATCTGAAATTGCAGCATCTATTTATAATGTTCAATATAATAAAAAATAAGAGTATTTCAATTAATAACTTAAGACTAAAATAAACTGCAACGCAATAGAGATTTCTGAATACAATTACTTTTTGCTGATTGCTTACTTTTTGCATTTCCTCCTGCTAGAACAATGAAAAATAAAGGAAGTCATTCTCATTTTTAGGTTTAAAGTGCTGTAAATAAACTGCAATGGTATTTTTATTTGTTGACTAACAACTGTTTTTATTAGAGAGACAAGATAGATGAGGCGTAGCTCGAAAGCATGTCTCTTTCACCAACAGAAGTTGGTCTAATAAAAGATTTTACCTCATCCACATTGTCTCTCTAATATCCTGGGACCAATATAGCTACAACAACACTGCAAACAACTGTTTTATTGGTATTTTAATTCATGGAAACATATATATTAGCCTTAGGTTCTGCGGAGTCTTGTTTATACAAATGCTAAATTTGGGGGCAAATTTAAGTTGACAATGTCCCTTTAAAAACCTGGGTGTTTTTATGATAATAGATTAGTGACTTCTACAACCAGTCTATATTTTTGTTTTTCATTGTATTCTCAGTTTGAGCAAGACATGTTCTTTTAACTAAGCTAAACTGTTCACATTACAAACAAACAAAGTTAATAACTATCAGTTAGTTTTTAAGTATCTAGCTTTAATGGTAAGTTTTTCAAAACGTATTAGAAAAAGTTCTGGAGCGCATAAAATCCACTGTTGCAAACTCTTTTCTTTAAATAATAAAAAAAAAAAGAACAGAAAAAGTCCCCAGAAGGGCAACCAAGATAGTTCAATGTATTTCAAGGCTCACATATGACAACAAGTTTGCAAAACGCAGGATTACTTAGAGCAAAAAGAATAGACTTGAGAAAGAACCTGATTGAGAACAGTGAATAGAGATCTGTCCCCTTTTCACCTTGTGTCATAATATAACTAGAAAATTGTTACTGGATCACTAAAATTCAAAGAGAGGATATTTAAAAACCTCTCAGTGTATGATCAATTTGCAGAATGCAATGCCACAGAAGGTTAGAGTCAAATACTGGGTTGGATTTTAAAAAGACAACTAGATAATTAAGACCATTAAGATCTGTAGTTGTTCAGTTATAATTATTTATACTGTTCCACAGAGATGAGATACTGAGATGGGTAATCACATCTCATTTATAAAAGCAATAAAGAATTCCTTCTGTCTGTATACAGCATTATATAATTAAGTAAGGCACATTAATTATGGAATGAGGTAGAGGGGGGTTGCCTTCCTCCAAGGCATCAGCTACTTGCTATTGTTAAATGCAGAACTAAACAGAAAAATGTGATCTGGTATGGTAAATCAGCTTATATAAAAGCATCAGTATACCACTCCAGTTTAACTTAAAAAGGGATAAATGAAAATTTAACTATTGAATTATGAACATAATGCTATACAAACAGAGTAATTTTCCCCCTAGAATAAATAATCTTGTGCTAGGTTTTTGATTGCTCCACCACAAAGTGTATTTACCACAACAGATGCATTACAAATGCTGGACAAGAATTAAAACAATATAACTAAAATAAAAAGCAACTACTAGTACAAACCTAAAGTCATAAGTGCACCAAGTAAAAGCCACCCAGCTTGAGTGCGCTGTAAGGACAGTCTACTATTTTGAGCAGCAGTTCGTAACAGATCCTCAGCAATACTGACTACCATCTGCAACAACAGGATAAAGAGTAATAGATTTCAAATATAAGTTAAATCGGCTAAGGAAGCTGCCACAAAGTAACCTATTACACATGCTCTACTCAGGGCCGGCTCCAGGCACCAGCCCACCACGCTGGTGCTTGGGGCGGCACCTGGAGGGGGGCGGCGCGGCGCTCCGGCCCCCAGGGAGAGCGGGGCCACGGCCGGGCTGGCCGCCCTCCCCCCGCTCTGGCCGCTGGGGAAAGAGCGGGCTCGCCGCCCTCCCCCCGGGGCTCTGGCCGCCCTCCCCCCGGCCGCCTGGGGCGGCAAAAAAGCCAGAGCCGGCCCTGGCTCTACTGCAGGGGTAGGCAACCTATGGCACGTATGCCAAAGGCGGCACATGAGCTGATTTTCAGTGTCACTCACACTGCCCAGGTCTTGGCCACCGATCTGGGGGGCTCTGCATTTTAATTTAATTTTAAATGAAGCTTCTTAAACATTTTAAAACCCTTATTTACTTTACATACAACAATAGTTTAATTATATATTATAGACTTATAGAAAGAGACCTTCTAAAAACGTTAAAATGTATGACTGGCACGCGAAACCTTAAATTAGAGTGAATAAATGAAGACTCGGCACACCACTTCTGAAAGGTTGCCTACCCCTGCTCTACTGTATGTTAAAATGTTCTCAAATAAACAATCTAACATTTTGTAAAGACCAGATTACTTTTTAGGCAGGTTATCTACTCCTATGTATGTGCAATGCTGATACAGTCAACTTGTCTGTGTTATCAATTGATTCTTGAAACAGAATTTAATGAAATCACAACGAGAAAAAGCTGTGAAACAATAACTAAAAGCACACAAAAAATGACTTTTGTTCTTTATCAGTCATTAGTTAGGTTTCAACGATGTTTTAAAGGTCAGTGTCCCGCAGTCAGTTGGAACATTTATTTCTCAATACAAATATCTTTCACTACAGTACAATTCCAGAGATTAAACGTTCTTCATCATCAACTCACTTTTCCCTTCGCATGAGGAATACCTAACGGACACTGATGCACTCCACCTAGTAAAGCAGCCATTGCAAAACTGTAGCCACTAACTGCTTCTGGTGAGGTCTTCAGATTGTTGAGCCTTTCAGCGCACCTATCCAGAAATGGAGTCAACTGAAAAGGCAATGCCACAGCTACACAGCGCAAGCACCATGCAGCAGCTAGCCGAGCAGCCATGCTTGGATGAAGAAGAACTGAGGTTACTGTCTCCAATAGCCCTGTGGAAAAAACAATACATGATCATGTCATTAAAGACTATCACAATGTATATCTACAAGGGGGCCAACTCAACGTTGCAGAGGCAGCCTTAATTCTGGTGTTTCCTAACTTCTGAGTGCTTGATTTTGCAACCTTAATTTTCTTTTAACATCGTTTTGTGTGCATTATTTCCTATGTTTTTAAAAAATAAACTGATATAAATTCTATCACATGGCATCATACTGATCCTCAAATAGTTCATCAGAAAGACTGGAACCTTTAGATCCACAATACAGGCCTCTGACACTCGAGTTCAGGGTGACAGAGCACCAGTAGGCTGTCATCCTAAACAGCCACTAGAGGGGGATGAGACACACATTTTGCCAGTAGGTTTCACAGATATTTGATGACAGAGATATGGCAAGATTCAGAAATCTTAGGTTCCATTCCAGGTTCTGGATAGGAGTGTGCTCTAGGGGTCATAGACTCTTCTACCTCATCCCAGTCCTGTCTTCTCCCCTCCCCCAACCACTGAACTCTTCTTCCTAGTCTCAAGAGCACCCTCCTCATATAGCCAGGCCCTGTCTCTTCCCCTAGGATCCTCATCCCAGTCTCCATTACCAGCCAGTCCCCGTCTCTCTTCCCCCACCATTTCCCACTTTTTCTGTCACCTGCCAGCCAAGTCTCCAATAGGCTCCATGTCCCAATCTACTCCCTCCATCACCCCCATGTCCAGCTCTTATCCCCACTGTATCTGAGTCAGGTGTCTTCCTTCTTCTCAGTGCTTGGGTGCCAGCAAGGGGAGCACTGAGAGCACAGGAGTGAGTATCCTTGCCCTTAGTTCCTATGCTCAACACCACAGTACCCCTCAGTAGCTAGGGAAAATCCTGCAAAGCCCCTGCACTGCAGCATGCTCTGTACAGACACTTTTCAGATAATCTACCTGTTAAATGCTAACAACTCTCCACTGAACATATGCAAACTGAGCTTTTTCAAAGGCTTATAATTTGGCCAAATTTGGGCAGTTTTTCCTGGGAACAGCAAAAGGCCCATCTAGGGTGACCAGACAGCAAGTGTGAAAAATTGGGACAGGGTGTGGGAGGGTAATAGGAGCCTATATAAAAGGCCCAAAAATCGAGACTGTCCCTATAAAAATCGGGAAATCTAGTCACCCTAGGCACATCCCTGGCACAAAGACGACTCCCTCCCCTTGCTACAAAGCACGGAGACACCAGAGCTTCTCAACAAAACCACTTTACGAAAAAAAATTTAACATGAGCAAAACAACTTATTTTCCCTTTTCTCAGCAACAGCTAGGCCACTTTCAATTAACTTTCCTAAAAAATTTCACCCTGAGGAAGATAACGTGTTTCTTAAATGATTATTTATCCATTATATTTTGCCAGATTTTAACCGTGTTCCATATAACTGATGAAAATGTCTTTTGAACTGCTATATAGAGCTGCTGAACTCCATCCACATACCTATAGAGGGTTCTTGTATGAGTGGCGATGCAGTGGCATTCAGGCTCTGAACCAGGCTACCTAGTTCTTGAAGGGCACACACCATCACATGTTGGCTTGCAGCTACATCAGCAGCTCCGGATTTATTTTCCCCGTTAGTATCATTCACAACCGCTTCTGCAAACAAAGAAAATCAAGTATCTTACTAAACTCTAAAAAGAACAGGAGTACTTGTGGCACCTTAGAGACTAACACATTTATTTGAGCATAAGCTTTCATGGGCTACAGCCCACTTCTTCTTCGGCTGTAGCCCACGAAAGCTTATGCTCAAATAAATTTGTTAGTCTCTAAGGTGCCACAAGTACTCCTGTTCTTTTTGTGGATACAGACTAACATAGCTGCTACTCTGAAACCTTACTAAACTCTGTCACTTGACTCACACTTGAATACAGATAAGAATCACTACAGAAGCTGGACAGAGACTATTTAGTTTTGGCAACAGCCTTAAAAATGCAAATGCAACCACAAGTTTTCTACCTACAATGACATGGCAAAAAAATCCCCCCAAAATTTAACATCTTTACGGTTATTAGCAAAAGCCAAAGTAAATAGTCCAACCAAGCCCCATTTACAATGGATGACCAGAAATTATTCTGGATACTAGAAATAATTACAAAAGTCATTTAGCTCAGAAAAGGAGCAGTTCTAAAATAGCAAAGGTGACTATAGAGGAAAATATGGACATATGTTTATTTTTTATATATATATATATATATACACACATACACACACACACACCCCTATATATACAAATTTATAAAAATGTAATCTTAATATATTTATGCAGAGTTTTAGATTTTGTTTCTTTCAAGAATTTGCATGCACATGTATATGGGGGTTGCAAAAAGCAGGCTTATAACAAAAAAGAAACCACACCCTTAACTATGGGATAAAAGAAAAAGTCAGAAATGTAATTTGGTGCTTTCTGCTCTGTGTATTTCAAGGAGACATTTCCATTCTTCCTCCTGCATCTTATCTCAGCAGCAGCCCTAGGCTATTCAGGCTGGGCAAAGAAGATATACACTGTGATAACATAAGAATGGCCATAATAGGTCTGACAATGATCCATCTAGTCCATTATCCTGTCTTCCAACAGTGGCTGGTGCCAGATGCTTCCGAGGGAGTGAATAGAACAGGGAAACTTATCGAGTGATCCATCCCCTCAAAGACTCTAAGGCAGGGGTGGGCAAACTACAGTCCGTGGGCCAGATCCAGCCCACACCGCTCCTGGAAGCAGCCAGCACCACGTCCCTGGGGGGTAGGGGAAGCAGAGGGCCTGGGGGGAACTGCAGCCAATGGGAGCTTCGGGGGAGGTACCCACAGGCAAGGGCAGCGCACAGAGCCCTCTGCCCCCCCCTCCCTCAGGGGCCTCAGGGACGTGGTGCCGGCCACTTCCAGGAGCGGCGCGGGGCCAGAGTAGGCAGGAAGCCTGCCCTGACCCCGGTGTGTGCCGCTGCTACCCCGCAGCTGTTCCAGGTAAGTGGCGCTGGGCTGGAGCCTGCACCCCGAACTCCTTCTGCACCCCGCACCCCAACCCCCTGCCCTGAGCCCCCTGCTGCACCTCACATTTCTCCTGTGCCCCAACCCCCGCCACACCCCACCTGCACCCCAACCCCTGCCCTGAGCCTCCTGCCGCACACCTCCTCCCTCCCAACCCCCTGCCCTGAGCTCCCTGCTGCACCTCGCACCTCTCCTGTGTCCCAGCCCCTTCCTGCACACTGCACCCCCTCCCACACCCTACACGCCCGCCCGCACACCAACCCCCTGTCCCAGCCCTACCTTTTCATATATGGAGATATACCTATCTCACAGAGCTGGAAGGAACCCTGAAAGGTCATTGAGTCCAGTCCCCTGACTTCACTAGCAGGACCAAGTACTGATTTTGCCCCAGGTCCCTAAGCGGCCCCCTCAAGGATTGAACTCACAACCCTGGATTTAGCAGGCCAATGCTCAAATCACTGAGCTAGCCCTCCCCCCTGCATGCAATTTTCCCACCCAGATGTGGCCCTCAGGCCAAAAAGTTTGCCCATACCTGCTCTAAGGCCAGAAGGGACCATCATGATCATCTAGTCTGACATCTATTCAAATACTGACAGACAACAAATGAGCATGCTCAGAAGTGATTTTTCAGGCACATAACTTCATTTCCATCACACCACAAAGCTAACAAAGGGGTGATTACAAAATAAGGAAATGCAAAATTTGGAGTTTCTTTGTTCAGCCATTTTTGGATTATGGGTGAACAAAAATCAAATGTCTCAAAAATGATGAAAAAATTATTTATTGCTCTTCCAATAATTTAAAATTTCTGAGGGAATTTTCTGCTAACTACAGTGAGGAAGTAATTTCTGAGATGAGACCAATGACAGAAGTATCATCCGCAAAAGGAGAATTTTTCAGACAGCTATGACCATGGAAACAGGAATTCTGATGAAATTTCTGATATAATCTTAACTGTAGTTTTCACTATGATGTTATACCCTGAAAAAATTATTCTGTGAAAATGTTACAGTGCAGTTTACTGTCTCAATCTCCAGCCCATATTTTCTCATTTTATAAGTAAAATTATTTATTTTAATTGCCAGCTCTGTAAAACTTTCCATGGGATCTTTGAATCTTTCCTTCTCAGACACTATCACAAATAATTAAAGATTCTGCAAGCCAAGTTATGACCACATTTATCTTTTGTAACTCCATTGTCTTCAAAATATGCTCTCAGTTATTGCAGCTGTAAAATCAAATTAGATTTCAGGAAGAATGCATGGGTTTATTTTAGAGCCTAATATGACCCGTGCGATTAATAGAAGTAATAATGCGTAAGAAGGAAAGAACCCAGCTTGATTTTTTGAGACCATAAGACAGTTTTGAGATAGCAGTTTGAAAAAAAAAAAAATCTTTTTACTTGTAAACTAGATGACAGGATGACAAATGCCACTCTCCACAATGCCACTTGTGCTGAATCACTATTCAGAGTAGAACCAAATTTTTAGTATGGATAACTTAACATTGCAAAATGATTCAGGGAAAAAACAGCTGAGTAGTTTAACAGCATAACTGCAGTAATCATTCACTAGTAGAGAAGAAACATTATTAAAGATTTGCTCCACTTGTTTTCTAAATATAGAAAAAAGTTTCTTACCCACTGCCTTCATTTGTTTACCAATGGCTTGACAAATATCTTTGGCAGCTGCAATCTGCGCTTTCTCCCCTAATAAACTGCCTACGGTTGCTCTCAGGATAAAGGACACACATCTTCGAGAGTATACTGCCTCAACATGAGTCTGAGTTGCACGAGGATGGGACACCAGATCCAGGACATGGGACAAAAATGTAGCAAAATTGCGCTCCAACCACTGGCCTCCTAGCGTTGTAACAAAGACAACATATGCCTGCAAATACAAGATATATATATTCAATGCAAACAGAAACAAAAGGATACTGTTGTTTAAGTGAGACCCCCATTCACAGTAGATGCATTGGAGGTAAATATTACTGATGGCATAGTGAAACTGAATGGTATACCTTTCATCGCATTTAGACTGCATGTCCACCACGTCAGTGTTGTTAACTCCTACTGTGGAATTACCAATTTGCAATGTGTATTGTCTATGCCTGGTTTGTAATTTCTCCCTAGCTAGTGCTGCAGACCTCTCGTCCAAAGATTAGCATGCGGGGTCTCTGATATAGCTGATGCTAAGAGACCCATTAAATAGAATAAAAATAGTATTGGCTGTTGAGGAAACTGCAGTAGGAGATGTAAAGATGATTTTAATTTTATAAACCTTTCTTCTGGAAGAAAGGCTTTTGCTATAACTGAGTCCAATATGATCCCTAGGGAAGGGATCCTTTCAGTTGGATTTAGGAGTCATTTTTCCCAATTTATACGCAATTCCAGACTGGAATTTACATGAAACAGGGTCTCTTCCTTCAACAAAATTTTATTAACCAGTCGTTAAGTTAAGGGATATACATAAATCCCCTGCTTTCTCAGCTATGCTGCTACGACAGAGACATTTTTGAACACTCTCGGGCTATAGAAAAACCGAAAGGGAGGACCTTATATGAAAATACTCCTCTCCTACAATGAAACACAGATATTTCCAGTGAGATGGCCATACTGAAATGTGGAAATGCACATCTTAAATCCAGAGCTGCAAACCACTCCTGAAGGCACAGAGAAGAGATTATAGAAGTTAGAGATAACATGCAGAAACTAGACTCTTTAATAGACTCATCCTCTCTGAGCAAACCCAAATGAACCAGGTCCTTCATTGAGGATAGAACAGGAGAGAGGGGTTGGTGAAAAAAAAGGGATTTGGACTGTACCAAATAACCACATTCAATAATCTCTAGAATCCAGCTACCCAATGTTATTAATTCCCACTGCTGGTAAAAACGGGACAGGTGGTTCCCCAAACAGAGGATAACAGAATCTAACAAAAAGAACAGGAGTACTTGTGGCACCTTAGAGACTAACAAATTTATTTCAGCATACGCTTTTGTGGGCTACAGCTCACTTCTTCAGATGCAGAGTGGAACACACAGACAGAAGATATTTATACATACAGAGAACATGAAAAGGTGGAAGTACGCATACCAATTGTAAGAGGCCAATCAATTGAGATGAGCTATCAGTAGCAGCAGAAGAAAAAACTTTGAAGTGATAATCGAGATGACCCATAGAAGGTGTGAGGAGAACTTAACATGGGGGAAAAAAGAATCTAACAAGGCTGACTTGTAGCTGTGACTTTTTGTCAACTTTGTGATCTTGGAGGAACTGCAGAAGACAACGATGTTGAAGATTACCTTTCTTATTGTGATGCTTACATGACCTCTTTTTGTTTTGCTGCTGTTGTTGAGAGGAATGATGTTGAGGTTGGTAATAATTATTCTTCCTCTGATAGGAATACGGAACCAATGTCAAAGAAAGTGGATATTGTCTCTGGTATAGGAAAAATGGAACTGCAGATGATCCTGTTGCTGTATCAAACTCCAAAGGTCTAACGGTAGATCTGTCGTTCTTCCTTTTCCCTAGCAAGTCATCTAACTGTGCACTAAGCAAGCCATCTTCAAAGGGAAGATCCTCAAATCTCATCCTTGTCTTCTGAGAAAGACACACTGATCTTACCCAAGCATGTTTTCTTAATTCAACAGCTGAAGCCATTGCTCTAGCTGATGCATCTAAAGAGTCAAATGCTGCTCTCAATGGATATTTAGCCACATGTTGCCCTTCTACTAAAAAAGCATTTATTAATCTTTTATGCTCCTCCGGTAGTGCATTCAGGAATGTCACAAAGTTTCCCCATAAATGATATTGATATCTAGCCATGAGAGCTTCATAATTTACTATTCACAAACCTAAAGGAGCCGAAGAAAATATTGTCCTCCCAAACACATCCAGTCTTTTCCCTTCTTTATCAGCAGGGTGAACTTGTGTACCCTTCGACATCAGTAGTGCAGCCTCTATTACTAACAAATTAGAAAAGGAATGAGAATGGAACAAAGCAAGACCTTCCTGAGGGAACTGGTACAATTGGTCAACCTTTTCGCACAGAAGGAGCCTCAGTTGGCAGGAGCAATGGAGAAATCGTGACTTCTTCAACTCTCCATCTCTTCCCTTTGAATTGGTGCCAAGAAAATGTCCAGGTCCTGCTCAATTGCAACACAAGGGTTAATCACTGATGGAGTCAGAGATGGACCCAATCTATGTACCTGGCGTTGTGGTGCTGTGTCAATATCAGTTATCAAATCCTTAATCTTTCCCCCAAACCACTCCTTCCTTAGCTTTAATTTCTGGATCCGGCTCATTTGGATCCAACAGAATTGGATCGGAAGGAGAACAACATCTCCTGATTCTACCTCAAGAATCTGTATACCCAGTAGGTTCCCTGAAGATCCTCTCGCAGACTGGCTCTTTTCAAACAGGCTGGCACCAATGAGGATAGAGCATTCATGCGCCCCCTAATGTCAGTCTTTTTCTTGTGGATTGGCTCTGGAAGCAGAGGCTAACACCACAGTAGGAGAGGCTTTCCTCTTCAGAGCCTTCCTATTTCCGGATCCGTCAGTGCTGAGTACTGAGGAGGCAGCTTTATCTTTCTTCCTTGCAGATTCGCTCAAGGCCTAAACTGGTTTCTGCGATGAATCTTGCATTTGCCTGGTTTCGGATGGTTTTGCTGACAGCTTCTCGTAGTAAAATTGCTTGAAGGCTGTTCTGACTCTCTCTCTTTCGCTCACGTTGCAAAAGGTTGAGCAAATCAAGCATTCCAACAGGGAGCGTCCCTCATTCCAACATGCCAGGCATCTGGCATGTGCGTCAGCTGCCGGACACACAGCCAGACATGATATGCACATTTTAAATCTGGGGTTTTTAGTCTTTGGTTCCACCACCTTTGCACCAAAAAACTTATAACTAACTTACTCTATAATACTAATACCAAAACTATTAACTACTGGACTAACTACCAAACTATGAACTAACTAGATCAAACTAGCTACAGATCTAGGAACACCCTGGAGCAGTTCCTAATCTGCTCAGCTGGTGACGGCTGGAAGGAACTGAAGCAGCTGGAGAGTCACCCCCCTTTTATGCCCTCACCCTGGAATGTTCACTGAGGCGGGGGGGTGGGGGGGGGTGAGGGAGGCACATGAACACTCCAACAGCGACTGCTAGCTAGAATTCCATAACTCCGGCTGCACTGGTCGGAGCATTCAAAGAGTTGGAATATGCAGAGGACACTTGGAGAAAAACAAATGAGTCTTGCGTAGCGCACTGAGCCTCAACAGATCAGGGCTCTAGCAAGCTGCCTACAGGAGGAAGTGTATTTCAGAGTTGAGGACCCATACTGATGCCCAGCTCTATTTGTTTTAAATCAAGTGACTGGGACCTTGAGTACCTCAGCAGATCTCAGTTGCTACAGTACCATGAGGGAAGAGAGATGGTCTAACAGGTTTGTCAGGATCCAAACGATTTAGGGCTGCAAACTTTACCCAGAAAGCCAATTGGTAGCCAATGCAGATCACAGAGAACAGAAGTAATGTTCTCTATAGGGGAAATACAATTTAAATTACATTCTGAACCATCCATTTTTCAAATGGTTTTAAGGACTACCCTTAGCACACTGTGACTGGATGATATTTTTCATATATCCAGTATACATAGCAAACTCTAATCTGTGGTTGTCATATTCTCTAATTAAAAAAAAAAAAAGCTTTCAAAATTCAGCCAGTACTACTAGCTAAAAAATAATAGCAATGTTTATGTAGTGCATGGAACTAATGTAACTATCTCAGGTGAACAACAGGAAAGTCAAATTGAATTCATAAATAAGTTTATACAAATTGCCAAATTAAGAAAGTTCGTTATACATTTATGCAATCCTACTGTGCTGGGACAAATAAAAGAACAATAACTTAATAAGCCTATATATTCACATTTTTCCCCAAACAGGGCTAACAGCTCCAAGGTGTATATTGTTACTATATTTTCAGAAAACATGAGAGGGAAAAAACTTCTAAAAATTATCACAAACCTGTGTGACACCAACTCGCACTTCCCGATTGACAGACCCTCCTACTTTCAACATCTCACCACCACTTTTTAGGAATCCTGACCCTCCTCGAAGAAACCCTGTGGCCATAAGTTCTAGGACTTCCTCCAGTGTAGCCCGCTTCACGTTCTGACGCATCACTTTTGGAAAGAGAACAGTAATCATTTAATTGTATACTTTTTAAAACAAGACAATCTAGCCATCTTAAGACGCAGCATTAAATATTCACATCATTCCTGCCACCATGAATCCATTTTTAATCCTTATTTTTTCTGCATTTTTATTATTTTGAATTCTCAGTGGAAGACTCCCACCTGTGCTCTTCACCATGACGCTCACACAGCTGCCATAGCAAAAGCAAAAACAAACTACAAGGATCAAACCATTCAGATCTGTCTCAAACTACTGCTGCCAGCATTCATGTACAGAACCACAGGTCTACGCCCAGATGTGCAAATTCTTGAAGGGAGGAGGAAACACAGTTGAAATGAAGGGAGATGGCCAAGTCTAGCCTCTTGGTTGCCCACGGTAACATGGTTTGGGGGAAAAAGAAGTCCTCTGCATTTCTCCCTAGGAATTCCCTGTGACTACGTTGAAGGAACAAACCTGATATGCTGCAGAGGATGCCACACTCAGTACTTCTCAGCCATATAACATAAGTTCATAAATAAAGCCTTATTTTTAAAATAATAGAATCCTCCCCCCTTTGAAAAGGTTTATGTTTCAGGTTTATGTGTGTGGTGATGGTGGGGGTTGAGGAAGTAAGTAAGAGAAAATAAAATAAGATATACGGACCTAATTCTAACCTTTAATATCGAGAGAGACGCATCACTATAAATCCACACATTTTAAATTACTCATGACTGTCCTTTCACATGCATGCACAATAATAGCTTTTTCTTACATAAGGCAATATACTAGTGCACATCTGAGAGACCAGAATCTGGTTCTCAAGTCTTGTCTACAGTAGGAATTTTTTGGACCCATAATTTCCAAATGGATGGACTCCACCTGTGGTAGTGCCAGTGGAGGCTTTAACATAGACAATGCTCAGGTGTATTGACTGCCATGGTTAGATCACGCAACCGCAAAAATGCCTAAGCCAGACTGACCCTTGCCTACATTACAACTTCCATGAGTGCTATGGCTGTGGAACTATGCCCCTTTGAGAATGATGGAGCCAATCAATCTGACCATAGACAGGGCTTGAATGTGCAATTTCAAGCCTTTTTTTTTTTTTTTTTTAAAGGTAACAAAAAGAGCATTTTAGGCCTCATTATTCTGAGATTGTTAAACTAGATATTTACTCTTCTACATATTTACCACAATATCTGTCTACAAGGGGCAGAGAATGACATAGGGGGTTATTCCAGCAACTACACATTTTACAAGGTGGATCAGACTACAGTTGTGATGGGTAAGGCTATGATTTAGTCATGGGTATTTTTAGTAAAAGTCATGGGCAATAAACAAAAATTCACGGCCCGTGACCTGTCCATGACTTTTACTAAAAATACTTGTGATTAAATCTTGGGGGGGGGAGGGGGGCGGTTGGGGCTGGAAGGCCGCAGCTGATGGGGGGAGTCCAGGACGCTGCTGGGGAGCCATCCAGGGCCAGCGGCACCAGATGCCAGGAGCCGCGGACCACAGCTGCTCTGGCCGGCTGCCCGGGGACCACTGCCTGGGGCCGCGGACTGCAGCTGCTCCGGCCACCCCAGGACCACTGCTGGGCGCCACCGGAGCAGCTGCTAGTGTGGCTGTCCCTGGGGCCACTCCAGCAGCGGCTTATGTAGCTGTCCTGGGGGCCACCTGAGCAGCTGCCCCCGGAGCCAGCTGCTTCCGGAGCCAGCTGCTTGGGCGGCTGTGGGGTCAGCCACACTGGCCCCTGAAGAAGTCACAGAGGTCACGGAAAATCATGGAATCCATGATTTCTGCGACCTCCGTGACAGATACGGAGCCCTGCTGATGGGTGGGAACAAGTTGGAGATCTATATGTACAACACTAGTCTTGAGGAATCATAGTTGAAATCTTAGCTACTGTGCTTTTGTTCACAGTTTTGTTTTCATGTTTTATGCCAGGTGAATTACTTTTTTGTAAGTTAAAACTAAACTATTGTCTTTATCTCCTTATGGGAATTTAATAGGAAATCCACAGACTTCACTCATTTTAGTTTATTCATTTTAAAATTTAAGTCTACCAAAAAAAAAAAAACCTTCCATGAACTGAAACAACAACACACCATGCCATGTGGTCATATAATGCAATACCTGTTGCTTGTTTTGGTATCAACGCTGTAGCCATGACTGTCCCCAAAAGCTTCGACACTGCAACTCGTACACCATAATTTGAGTTTTCCAGAGCTTTAAAGCAGAGTGTTGCTACATTTTCTAGCTCAGCAGTCCACATAAATACAGCTTCATTTTGTAGTTCCAGTAGGCACTGTAGGAAAATAAGAATTATTGAATACTACTACAACCTACTTTTTCCCTTCTGTCATTAAGCCTATGCATTAGGTTTATTTGGCAGACATGTTAATATGGACCTCTTCGGATTGGCTTTTTGTTTTTGTCTCTCTCATTAAAGCCCAGATAACTTGGCTAGAATAACCACTGAAGAAAAACCATGGGACTATGCACCTCTTTTGTTTTAATATACTCAAGTAAATCACACTTTCAGCCTCCTTTGTGTACAAGACTGTAAGGGACACCTAAGAGATGAAGACAGATCCAATAGTCGAAGGACCTCTGATACTCTAAACTGAGCAGACTGTGCTAGTCATAGCTGACAGAGGCCCTCTTCAGGCCTTCTAGGAAGAAATATTATCCTATTCTACATGTCAAGATCCATAATGTGTACAGTCTCCCCAGTCTAGTGAGATTTTAACATCTTAGACTGACTTCTTGCTGAAAATTTGTGTAACTCTCCACCTCATCCATATTCTCCACCAGTCTGTGGGCAAAGCTTGAACTAGTTCTTTTTGTGTTTTCTCATTGTTGATTTGGAGTAATTTTGTCAAACAAAGTATTCTAGTGAAAAATTAATATGCTGCATGATATATATCTGGCTTTAACAAGTATTGTACAATTGTAGGAATGGTTCTTGTCTGAGGATTGCGGTAAAATCTAGAACTCCAAACATACATATGTAAATAAGTTTGGATGTTGGAATGTGCGAAAGTTAAACTGAAATTTAATTTCTTATGTCCAACTTGGATTTAGAGAGCAGAAAAAAGACCTAGTAGATCATCTGCTTCATCTATCTGTCTGTGCAGCATTATTCCCGAAAATACATCTTGAGTGCCTTGTTTTAAATTACTAAAACTGGAGAGACTAGCTTTTGAGGAAAGATTAAAAGAATTATTTATAAATAAGGTATCTTGACCAAGAAACAATAAAAGAGCGACCTGAAAACAATCAATAAATATTTGTAGGATGTAAACATCAGAGGACAGGAATTTAAGATGGAACAAAAGTATAGAAAGATACAATTTTAAAAATGTAGCTGAATATCAGGAACTATCAGGAAAAAAAATTAACATGTTGATCCATTAAAAAGTGGAATAGTCTCTTAAGGGAAGAGGTAGAATCCCAGTTACTTGGAACATTTAAAGCTAGACTGGACAAGGCACTAAGAAGTGTACTGTAGAGATCAATTCTGTATGTGTAATTCCTACAATTCTGGGATACAACTTTAGAAAGACAGATTCACACACACACACAAAAAGGCAGCTTTTCCCCCAGCACCACTAATTATTTACCGCTAAACAAAAAAATAAGTGGATTGTTATTTATCACATTAATTACAATCTAACATAAATACGCAAACATCAGAGTTTATGGAAGTACAGAAAAGGCACCATGGCACAGTGAACAAATATTCCTCACGACACTGACCTCCTTATTCAGGGGTGAAAGTACTATAAAAGACTTACTGGTATGGGGGCGGGGCCTCAGGTGGAAGGGGCGGGGCTGCGGGTCAGCCTCCCCCAGCCAGCCTTTCCACACTGCCTGGCCTGCGCAGCCTGGGGCTCCAGCGGTGATTTAAAGGGCCTGGGGCGCCGGCCACTGCAGCGGCGACCGGGAGCCCCGGGCCCTTTTAAGTTGCTGGGCCCTGGGGCAGCTGCCCCTTTTGCCCCCCCGTCAGCGGCCCGGGGTGGGAGGGGAGGGCAAAGGGGCAGCGACTTTGAAACACTGCCACAGTAGCGCTTTAACGTCAGCTGTGTACGGGCCGGTACCGGAAGCCACTTCTTACCGGTACGCCGCCCACTTTCACCGCTGTCCTTATTCCTCCAGACTGAAAATCATCAGTATAAATTCAAAAGCAATAATTGCCATTTTCCCTATAACTCACTTTGTGGCTACCAATTTTATATTCAAATAGCACCAAGTGCTATGATTTCAGAAATGTACCACACTATACAATAAAGAACAGGCAGCAAGCCCAACTACAAGGAACCTAGCATCCAGAGCACAAAGAATATTAGATTTTTAAACCTTATAAAAAATTTACCTACCTTAGCTACTGCACATCGTACAGCCATAGATCTATCCGTCAGCAGAGATCGTGCATTCTTATAAATATCACGGTGGCATGAAGCTGCTGCACCACCCAGTCCATTTAGAACTTTCTGTAAACTCATTAATATTTCACTTCGGCCCTGAGACTGCATACGTGAAAAGAAAGCAAAGGGTAAAAAAAGCAATTCACAATCAACAGCTCTTCATAGTTATTTGTACCCCAAATATCAGCATTATAGTTGTATCACCTGCTCTTTTTGTAGCAGTATATATTGGTGTGCATAGATGATACAAACTCATCAATTCAATAAAACCACTTAAGATAGCTAGAGACTGAACAAATACCATGAAATTATTGTGTAGTGTTCATGTAGCTGCAAATGCTACATTTAAGTATGTAAAATGGTCTCAGTTGTTATAGGCCATATGGCACATGTGTATGCTCAAAGTATAGCAAGAGCCCCCTGTCCTTCCTGGCTGGTGTAGCGAGAGCTCCCTCTGCTGTTTCAATCTACTTCAAGCACTGGGTATATGTATAGTAATAAACACATGCATAAAAGTGCACTTTCAATCAGACGTGCTGGAACAATTTGTAAAATGGGGGTGCTGAGAACCACTGAATCAGATTGTAAGCTCTGTATATTATGTAAACCACTTCAAGCCAAAGGGTTCTGCAGCACCCCCCGCACCCCTAGGTCCAGCATCTATGCTTTCAATATGAAACAGGAATAGAAAATAGTACACATGTAGCCATTGCTATTGTAATTGTGAAATCTTAATGTTGGATTCAATCTTCTAGTTTAATTTTTTGCTTTTTATTTCTCAGCTATATTAACAAGGAAAAAATGGGGGAGGGAGAATCTAGAACTATTTGGTTTACATAGTTCATAAGCTCCATCCACAAAGCTTTCAACCTGCCAATACACATTTAACTAGCTGCACACATATGCATCTTTCTTAAATGTGTAATTTTGTACTTGGCACATTCAGTATACAAACTTCAGTCTTTGACAACTGTGAAATCAAACAATTTTTTTTTTTTTTGGAGTCTACCTAAATTACTATTCCTCAATGAGCACATGGAATGTTTCCACTTAGACTGTAAGCTCTTTGGGGCAGGGACCTAAGTTCCCTGTAAGCTGCGTGGCAGCGCAGCAGCCTATTTACTGCTGCACAGGCACCTAGGGAACCTGTTGGGAGAGGGGCACACCTCCCGCGGCCTCCACCTAGCCCGCCCCTCAACCTGTGATGTGTCACACATCACCTTCATATTGGTGCACATAACAAAATTCATTCTGCACCTGGGTGGGAAAAATTAGAGGGAACGCTGGCAGAGACTGTCTATTTTGTTCTGTGTTTTTCATGAAAACTAAATAGCTGTAAGACTAGGAAACGGTGTTTGTTAAACATTTAAAAACTCAAAAAGAGTTCAACAAAATGAGCTCAAATTTCTCTCCCACTACCCCCCAAAAAACATTAAGATGACAGCAAACTCAATAGCCTCAGTTGAAAAGTTTTTTTCTGCAAGTCCAACTCAATACAAGACTGTTTGCCAGGGGGCAGATTCAGTAGCCAGCACAGTCCAAATAAACCCTATGTACTCAGGCTTAGGTCCAAATCCCTTTCTTCAGGGTCAGGTTTACTAATCAACAGAAGACACAAAGGTTCAAATACATACAAAACACTTGAGAATAGATACTTTTCCACTATTTGCCAGCTGGAAAGGGGAGAGGACACATCCTTCTCCACAGGGCCGGCTTTAAGCCGATTCAGCCGACTCCCCAGAATGGGGCCCCGCGCCTAAGAGGGCCCCGCAACGTCCAGGGCTGCCGGCGGAGCGGGGGAAAAAAAAAAAAAAAAAAAAAGCCACGTCCTGCTTTTCCCCACTCCCTCCAGAGCTTGCACCGCCATACAGCTGATCAGCACAAGCCTGGGAGGGAGGGGTGAGGAGGAGGAATGCGGCGTGCTTGGGGAAGACGCGGGGCCAGGGCAGGGATTTGGGGAGTGATCCAATGGGGCAGTGAGGGGGCGGGGCTGGGGCCGGGGTGGGGATTTGGGGAGGGATCCAATGGAGCAGGGAGGGGGCGGAGTCGGGGCGGGGGGGCGCGAGACAATTCGCGTCCCGGCGTGGGGCCCCGCACCTGCTAAAGCCGGCCCTGCTTCTCCAGGAAGATAGCCCTTCCTGTCTGCTATGGAGAGCCTTTCCCACGTCCTTCCCTGACGCTGGGTTCTCAGTAGTAGGGTAGACTGCCTGTTTACAGCAGCTGCTGCTTGCAACTTAGGCCTGTCTACACTACAGAGTTAGGTCGACGCAAGGCAACTTACGTCGACCTATGTAAGCATCTACGCTAAAATTTCGCTCCCGCTGACGTAATTGCCCCACTACATCAACTTAATAACTCCACCTTCATGAAAGGTGTAGAATCAATGTTAATATAGTTAGGTAGACACTATGTTGCTTATATCAACTGTTACTGGCTTTAAGAAGCCATCCCATATTGACAGTACAATCAGTACAAGTGCTCCTGGTAAGGACATGCACTGCCAACACAAGGAGCAAAGCTTGTAATTACTGTGGCGGCTATATGCCAACATAAGTTAGGTTGACTTAATTTTGTAGTGTAGACATGGTCTTAGAATCACAGGACTCTTGTCATGTGCTCCCTGAACTCAGTCCCCTCAGTCTTAAAGGACTGAGCATTGAACCAAGGTGCAAGGACATGTACATGTGACGCAGGACCAGCACCCTGTTACAAGGGCTATAACAGTATTTGAAACCATTTTGCAACTTTAACAGTTGCAATCACAACTAAGTGACTGCTATAATATTCACATGCCGAAATTTTAAGCCACTTACATAGTACAACTATATGTATATCTTTATACTGATATGAACCATAAAGACAGTATCTGTTTGCCCAGTTCAGTGAAAAGCCGTGAAAAAATTTTAACTAAAAAAAAAAAAAAAAAAGTTTTGGCTTTTAAAAAAAATTCCTAAATGTGTAGACCTAAAATGCCCCTGTAACTTACCTCTGCACTTTTCAGAGACTTTAAGAGATTATTAACTGTTTCTGGAAAAGAACTGCCCAGCATCCTGCCCATTTTTTCATAAAAAGCTCCAACACATGCCACGGCAGCCCTACAAAGACAAGATGTCCCTTAGAAACCTCTTTGTCAAAGTTTAACATACAATTTAAATGGAAAGCATCAGACTAGGAAATAAGGAAATTTATTTTTTAAATGTACCGTATGTTGTTAATCATTTTCTATTACTAAAAATCTATTTATTATTCAATAGTTATGTTGGTTGTTTACTCTATATTTCACTCAACCTAGATAGTGAAAATAGAGTGATCAGCTATATGGGGTTTGATCCATTGGCAGGATTTTTTCCTAAAGCCCTAATCCTGTGTAAAATTAAGCATATAATTAAATCTTTGCAGGATTAAGGCTTTAAATGGTTGCAGAAAACGGACTTCAGCCAGACAGCAGAAAACTGTTAGAGGTCAGCAGTACGTTCCTTATGTTTTGATATACGTACCCCGACACTTGAAAAAAGGTAGACATTTTGTTGTTGGGTTTTTTTACATAAAAAACCCTCAAAATGTGTACAATGTTATACAATGTGGTTACATTTAGATACGCTAAAATCACTGGGTCAGTCAATTTTTTGCACCCGCATTTTTCCTTTTCCTGATGTTCAGGTACTAGAATAACTTGGTTCGTTGGAGTGGGGGGTTTTGTTTTGTTTCATTCTTTTGGAGCGGGAAAAGAGGAGAGTTGAGGCAGAAAAGATTTTAAGCAATTTTGTGTTTCAATTAGACATATAAATAGTTCCAGCAGCAGCTTGACAGAAGCAGCTCCTGTGCATCCCAGGCTCCTGAGAATGTGTAAACTGATATGACAAGGCTTTCTTAGCTTAAAGTTTTTAAACATATACAACTGAGAATGCTTGACAATAATTTTTCAATCACTGATAGCATATTATCCAGCCAGCTGTTCATTTCAAACTTATCAAAGCACATAACTCCTCACCAAGGACACCTTATATAAAAAGTCTGCCATTTCAAAGTTCAGCTGTTTTTGAATAACCTGAATGGGGAAAAAAGGCTGTTGGGATATTCTTTAAGCGGGGAAAGTAATATGTTTGGGAATTCATAATAAAAACTGTTCTGCTCAACATTTCTCATAAAAAAAGGCATAAATCAAGCAAGGAGAGTTTCAGCCCAAAGGGTCAATATTTCAGATAGTTGAGTATGTAAAAACAAAGGGTTATAACAAAAATGGTTTTACAACCTTAACTAGTATTTCCTACCAGTGAGACTGCTAGGACAGTGTTTCTCAACGACCAGTCCTTGGACCAGCGGCAGTCCCTGAGATCTCCCTGACACAGTTTAGGAAGGCAGCAAGCCAGTCGCTGTTATCAAAAAGGTTGAGAGACACTGTGCTAGGATACCTGAAATGTGAGCTGAAGCTAAACACACACAGAGCACAGAGATTATTTATTCAAGAGACACACACTGTACAGTAGATGAATACAAACAAACAGTGAACACTCTTTCTGAAGAGTACCTAACATTAACAATTATCTCTTGAAATACAAAGTCCATGTTAGGGTTTAGCCTGCAAGGTTCCTTGCACCTTTTAATTTGGGGATCAGAATGTGCCTGTAAATATTTGAGAAAATCCAAGTAAAGGAATTTGTCCATTTGTTATTCTGTCAGGCATTAGCTTTCCTCTGGATGACATAAACATGTAAAAATTAGCCCAGAGTAGAAGACATTTCCTTTCCTGGAAGAAAGACTCTTCAACTCCAGACAACCACATGAATCTTTGTTAGCTCTAAATCCTTCCCTCCACACTCCCAATCCTGCTCTTGTTATGTCGCATTTATTTTTATATTATATTATATATACATATGTATATAATACACAAATACATACACATACAGATTAATGTAGAGATATGAAATACTTTATTTATAACAAACATTCCCCCTCTTAAGGCAACATTTTACTTACAGTTTGGTCGGTAAATAGGCAGCAGTATCATCTTTATTCTTGATAATGTCATTACACTTATCAAGTGTCTGAAAGACAGTAAATGTATCGCCAATGCTATAAAGAGCCGCAAGATTTTTAGCCAGTAATTTACGTGTGGGTGGCCCAGGGGAACTGCTGATGAGTCCAGTTAGCTGTTCCACAAGCTTCTTTTGTTTTTCCTTGACATCTGTCTGTTAAAGGAACAAAATTTATGTTATTATAGTCTTTCCATTCATATGTAATTCAACATTTCTACCAGTTTCCACAAACCTTGAGGGAGATGTTTTATGTTTCAATCTAAAATACTCTATACTATACTCAGCACCTGCACATACAAATGCTAAATGGAAATATACAAATGGTTGCTATTGCTGAGTTCTTACTGTTTCTATCATATATAATTTATTAATACAATATTACTTCATAGAGGGTCCTTTAAGCTCCCAGGACTGTCCTCCTTTGCCATTTTTCACCTCTTTTTCCTCATCATTAAAAGGTCCCGCACTTGAAGAGAAGAGCTAAACTTTCCGAGGTATACATATTACTGAAGAACTGTAGATCCTACTAAGTATTGTAGTTTGTAAATCTATAATTTCAGACTGAGCACAAGCAACAAGCACAGGTATTTACAAAACTACAAGATACAGTTGAAAGTTTATATATGCACTTAGTGTTAGTTAGGGCCCTGTGTAAAGCACAAATTATTTTGTTTTAGAAAATTCAGGATAGTGTAAATGGCAAATTACTGAATTTTATGAAGTTTGCATGGAATTAGTTTTATAAGTAACGTTAGTCAATTTCAAGAACAGAATGAATTTCACAAGTAATGTCAGTCAATACCAAGTGTCATTCCATCTTTGAAATTGACTAACACTATTTGGAAAAGTCATCCTGTCCTTGAAATTGACTAGCTAAGGTAATTTTTTTTTTTTTTTTTTTAGTATTACAGACTTTCTTGTAGACAGTTTTCCTTTTACCTTTTTTAAAAAAAGATCACGGTTGGAGGCATTTTCATGATTTCGGTACACTACATGAAATTGTGATTTACACATGGGCCTACTTTCTACTTATAGTTACTCTGAAGGTTGGCTCCCAGATCCTACTGCCACTGTTATGGATGTCCATCTGGTACCTTTTCATGAGTATGAAATTAACATGACATTTTTAGAGAGAGAAATAAAGAGGGAGAAATAAAGTTACCTTGTTGGCAGCTACAAGCACTTTATCCAGAAATCGCAGCCACTCAAAAATAAAGACTGGCCTCTTTGCTTCTGTGATTTGAGCCAAAGCTTCTTCATTTAGCAACAAACTATGAGCCAGCTCCATCCTTATTTAAACTCTGACTTCACTGTAGACTCCTGTGTTGTCTCTAAAATACAGTTAATGTACAATGTAAAGCAATAAAAAGCTTTGCTACAATATTTTTTATTTAATGCAAATTACAGTTTTCAGAGCAGAACTGCATTTTAAATACAGACTACAATATCAGACCCCAATCCTGCATACATTTATGCTTGTTTTAATTAAGTAGTCTCAGAGAAGTCAATGGGTACATCTATACAGCCTGCAACAGTGAGCTTCTCAACCTGGGTTAACAGAATTGGGCTTGCAGGGCTCATGCTAGAGCTCTAAAAATAGGTGTGTAGCCAGCTCTTCGAACTTGCAGCTTGGGCTGGTGCTCAAGCTCTGAAGCCTAGGAAGGGGGATGAGCTCCAAAGCTGGAGTTCCAGCCCGAGCCACAACTTCAAAGAGCTGTCTAGCGCAAGCCCAAGTCTGCCAACCCAGGCTGCAAGGCTCATTAGCACAGGGTCTGTAGACATACCTAATGGGACTAGTCACATGCTTAAGATTAAGCACATGCATATGTATTTGAGGTATAGGGACCTTAAATGTCAAAAACAAAGTACAGGCAGCTTCAGGATTTCAGAGGTTTTTCTGCCTGGCAAAGAATAATGTTGAGGTCCCTGTAAAAAAGTAGTAAAGAGAAAAAAAGAATGTTACCAGTCAGGAGAGACTACTTCCCTTCCCCTCCGAGATCTTACTTATCCCTTTAACCTCTCCAAGATACTGGATACCATGTAGAAGAATACTCCATGGGACCTTGTGTAAAGGAGTCTGGGGAGCTTCTCTTTGATTTGTGAGGAGATCCAGGATGCCCTTACCCCTTCAGTTGAAGGGATCTCCTGCACAAAGTACATACTCCATAAATTGTGTTTCATAGAACTAGAGCAATATAGTTGTATGAAACATGCATTTCACCAAGTGTAACTTCATCCACATACCAGGCAATTTACAAACCCAGAGAGAAGTACTCTGCAGACCCTATACTTTTTACTTTTTTCCTACTTTTCTATTTCTCCTATTCCCTTCTCCTTTTTTGTCCTTAAAGATAAAAAGCAGGGAAATTAAATGGAAGAAATGTGCATTAATCCTATTAAAATTCATAAATTTGGATTCTCATCACATTATTTCTGATATGTTTCATAGATTTTAAGGCCAGAAGGGACCATTAGAACATCTAATCTGATCTCTATGTCACAGACCATAGAATTTCATCCAGTTACTCCTCTATTGAGTCCAATAACTTGTGTCTGACAAAAATATATCTTTCAGAAAGGCATGTAGTCTTGATCCAACAGTTAATCATCCTCACTGTTAAAAATCTCTGTCTTATTTCTCATTTTAAATTGTTTGGCTACAACTTCTGGCTGTGGTTCTTGTTATGCCTTTCACTGCTAAATTAAAGAGCCCTTTAATATCTGGTATTTTCTCCCTGTGCTGGTACCTATCCACCATAATCAAGTTACCTCTTGATTCTTTTTTGATAAGCTAAATAGGCATTTTCTCCAGAACTGCAATCATTTTTGTGGCTCTTCTCTGCATTCTCTCCAATTTTTCAATATCTTTTTAAAATGTGGACACAAGAACTGTGTGCAGTGTACACAGAGGTAAAATCAGTTTCCTACCCCTACTCACTACCCTCAGTTGACACATCCAAAGATCACATTATCCCTTTTTGCCACAGCATTGCACAAGGAACTCATGTTGAACTGTTTGTCCAGTACGACCACTAAATTCTTTTCAGAGTCACTTCTTTCCAGGATACAGTCCTTCATTTCTCCTATTCCCTTCTCCTTGGATAACGAGTCTTGTGGATAAGGGAGAAGCTGTGGATGTGGTATACCTAGACTTTAGTAAGGCATTTGATACGGTCTCGCATGATATTCTTATCGACAAACTGGGCAAATACAATTTAGATGGGGCTACTATAAGGTGGGTGCATAACTGGCTGGATAACCGTACTCAGAGAGTTGTTATTAATGGTTCCCAATCCTGCTGGAAAGGCATAACGAGTGGGGTTCCGCAGGGGTCTGTTTTGGGACTGGCTCTGTTCAATATCTTCATTAACGACTTAGATATTGATATAGAAAGTACGCTTATTAAGTTTGCGGATGATACCAAACTGGGAGGGATAGCAACTGCTTTGGAGGACAGGGTCATAATTCAAAATGATCTGGACAAATTGGAGAAATGGTCTGAGTTAAACAGGATGAAGTTTAACAAAGACAAATGCAAAGTGCTCCACTTAGGAAGAAAAAATCAGTTTCACACATACAGAATGGGAAGAGACTGTCTAGGAAGGAGTACGGCAGAAAGGGATCTAGGGGTTATAGTGGACCACAAGCTAAATATGAGTCAACAGTGTGATGCTGTTGCAAAAAAAGCAAACATGATTCTGGGATGTATTAACAGGTGTGTTGTGAGCAAGACACGAGAAGTCATTCTTCCGCTCTACTCTGCTCTGGTTAGGCCTCAGCTGGAGTATTGTGTCCAGTTCTGGGCACCGCATTTCAAGAAAGATGTGGAGAAATTGGAAAGGGTCCAGAGAAGAGCAACAAGAATGATTAAAGGTCTTGAGAACATGACCTATGAAGGAAGGCTGAAAGAATTGGGTTTGTTTAGTTTGGAAAAGAGAAGACTGAGAGGGGACATGATAGCAGTTTTCAGGTATCTAAAAGGGTGTCATAAGGAGGAGGGAGAAAACTTGTTCACCTTAGCCTCTGAGGATAGAACAAGAAGCAATGGGCTTAAATTGCAGCAAGGGAGGTCTAGGTTGGACATTAGGAAAAAGTTCCTAACTGTCAGGTTGGTTAAACACTGGAATAAATTGCCTAGGGAGGTTGTGGAATCTCCATCTCTGGAGATATTTAAGAGTAGGTTAGATAAATGTCTATCAGGGATGGTCTAGACAGTATTTGGTCCTGCCATGCGGGCAGGGGACTGGACTCGATGACCTCTCGAGGTCCCTTCCAGTCCTAGAATCTATGAATCTATGAATTTTGTAGGTATATGACTTTTCATTTGACTGTATTAAAATGTGTTCTGTTTGACTGGGCCCCGTTTATCAAACAATTCAGATCACACTGTATGATTGCCCTGTCCTCATCGTTATTTACTATTCTCCCAATCTTTGTATCATCTGCTAATTTTATCCTAACTGACTTTATACTTACTTCTAGATCATTGATAAAAATAATGAATAGCATCAGGCCTAGTACTGATCCCTGAAGAACTCCACCAGTAATACCCCCATTCTATGATGATTCCCCTGTGACAATTACTTTTTGTCAAGCTTTTTTGTAGGCATCATGGCAGAAGAGACTCTTGTGGAGGGATGTCAAGGTGAATAATGAGGTAGCTTTGTGAATGTTCATAGGGTGCTCCTCCCAAGCATGAGGGGCAGCAGAGGAGGAACAATGAAGGTGTTAAGTTTTCAAACAACAAGCAGGCAACGGAGGCTGGCACCGTGGCTGATCGGAAATGAGCACCGGTAGCTCAACAGCAAATGAGAGATGATAGGTAGGGTGGGGATTGACTGCAGCTAGCCTTGAAAGGGAAGACAAACAGTTTATGTTGGATGTGACAGAGAAGGGGGAGCCAGTGGGAGAAAGAGAGGGGTGACATGGTCAAAGTAACAGGCTAAGAAAATGATCTTTGCAGCAGCATTCTGAATGTATATGCATTATTTGAGACCAGTATATAGTTGAAAGTGGGAACGTTGTCTGGTAGTTTTAGAACAGCAGAGATGGAATAAGGACATCCAAATTCTATTCCCAGCTCTGCCACTAACTTGTTGAGTGACCCTTAAACAAGTCACTTACTCTGCCTATGCCTTGGGTTCCCCATCTGTAAAATAAGTATAATACTTCCTTACAGGGGTGGTACAAGGATAAATTAATTAACATCTGGGCCCTCAGATACCACAGAGATAGGGGCCACAGAAACACCCAGGTATACAGGAGTAAATCTTGTTTATTATTGTTTAGTCCCAACATGGTGCTCCATACCATTAAATATATAAACACATATCCCCTGTCCTTATTAATACAGGTGGTCAGTTCATTCAACACACCAACTGTTGCTTATGGAGTGGTATGATGCAGCAGCCTTCATCCTGAATACGGAGGTACAAGCCCTGGAAACCACAAATCCTAGGATACAACACACACAGACCCCACAACATTGCCGCAGAGCCATGCTACACTCCAGGTCCGTCATCCCTGCGCTATCAGGTGCCAGCCCCGTGGCACCATATGCCACCTCTGCAGGGCCACTCCACCCATTGGGAAGCGCCATCTCCGGTGCTGCCAGGTCTGGTGAGTTTCATCGCCAGCCGCTGCCGGAGCCCTGCCACCGGGCCCGGCTCTCGGCGAGCCCCGCACGCAGGGCCAAGCTCGCAAACGCGCCCCGCCTCTGTCATTGGCACCGGCCAGGCCTGCCTCAGGCTCTCCGGGGCTCGAGGCAGGATTTCTGGCCGCCGGGGGTGGGCGGCCCTGTCCGCTACCCCCTTCCCAGCAGCGTCTTCCTGCCCCCGGACCGCGGGCACCGGGCACCCACCGCCCCGCGGCCGCTCCTCCCCGCCCCCCTCTCAGAGCAGCTCCCCGGGGGCAGCCGAGCCCCCCGGCCCGCACTCACCCGCAAGCAGCGGCCCCAGCAGAGCCCGACGGACCCCTGACAGCAGCGCACCGGGTCTCCCTCCCGGCGGCAGGAAGAGCCGGGTCGGGCGCAGGCGCAGCCCGGGACCCAGGAAGCGCCTGAGCAGAGAGTGCGCAGGACAGAGCCCGAGAGAGAGCGCGGGGGGTGAGTGAGAGGCAGGGTGGAGCGATGGCTGGGGATACTGGGGAGGTGACTGGGGGTGGTGGGAGGTTTGGGGGTGGGGTAGCTGGGGATACTGGGAGGTTTTGGGGAGAGGTGGCTGGGGATGCTGGGGAGGTGGCTGGGGGTGGGATGGCTGGAAATACTGGGGGGGGTGGGAGGTTTTGGGGTGAGGTGGTTGGGGATACTGGGGAGGTGGTTGGGGGTGGTGGGAGGTTTTGGGGTGGGGTGGCTGGGGATACTGGGGAGGTGGCTGGGGGTGGGAGGTTTTGGGGGGGATGGCTGGAGATACTGGGGGGGTGGGAGGTTTTGGGGTGGGGTGGTGGGGATACTGAGGGGATGGCTGGGGATGCTGGGAGGTTTTGGGGGTGGGGGCTGGTTGTGTAGGTAGTAATTGGGGATTGTAAACTCTTAAGATATGAAGCAAAGCAGAAGCCACTGAACATCAGACTGGCTTTATTTTTACCTGATTTTCAGACTCTGAGGGTTATAACTTCCAGATTTTCACAGTTGGAATTCTGCAAAAATGGCTTGTTTGTGGTAAAAATGGAAAATGTTGACCCCATGCTTTAGCCCTCCTCCCTCCCCCTTCAAAAATATGTCTGTAATTTTACCTAGAGAGACAAGGTGGGCAAGCTAATATCTTTTATTGCACCAACTTCTAATTCTAATTTAATTTTACGTAAGTGACACTTTTTGTAAATTTTTATTTCAGTGGGACTGCTCAGAGTAGTAAGTTAAGCACCTGCCTAAGTATTTGCAGGATCAAGACCCTGTAAAATACAAAAATATATTTAATTTATTAGAGCAATTTTCTAGGGAATTCAAGATTAAGATGGATACTCCTTTTGGTTTTATAGCGTATGCTCCAATAAAAAACATTGTCTTGTGAGCTTGAATGGCTAAAGAAATTTTGAGATTAGAAAATGTAGGTGTAACTGCCAGGTTAGGTGATCTACCAAATGGGTCATTTCCATGGTAATGGTGCAGAAAGTTCAGGAGATCTGAAAATTTTGCCTAAATTCACAAAATCCGAACAAAGACCATCAAGCGAGAACATTAACGGGAGCCTAAACTTGATTAAATAAAGAGTGAATTGCCTGATGCCTAGTTTTTCAGTGCCCTGGATGCCAATCCTGGCAGAAAAAATATGGACAAAGAAATTGTAATTCTCTGATGATGTTTAAAACCTCACAAAAGATACAGATTCGCCCATTTGTCATGTGATATTTATTCAGCCCAAGAAGTGTTTAAAACTAAAGAGGAGAACAGCTTCTTTGAATTGTAGACTGTATGGGCAACCATGGAAGAAAATTAAGCCAAAAATACCAAGTGTGGATATCGAGGAAAAAGAGGGTCAAGTTAAATCTAGATAAATGCATTATCAGAGCAACTGACGTAGTAGTCATTTTTTTGAAGTGTAACCCTGCTAAAGCAACAGTAATCCCCAAGGTGAGGCTGCCATAGAACTATGCTGAGCAAGAGACGAGATCAAGGATGATAACTGAAACATTCATTTCTACCCCCTGGTAATTCACAAAATATCAAATAATAAAACTGCTGTCAGTCCCTCAGTCTAGCAGTGGTTTTTTGGCACTTGTCCAGTACTGAATATAGCAAACCTGAACCAGTAAGTTTATCTCAGCCCAAAAACAGTCGTCTTATTTCATTTCAATTCATTTTAAAAAGGTAAAATGTGTAATAAAATATTTTCATTCGTTATAGGTAAGAGGATCTGAACAGGGTACACATATTAAACATGGAAGAAGAAGAAGATGACTATATGTCTGATTCTTTTATTAATGTGCAGTAAGTAGCTTGCCTAAGTACATCATACACATCTACATCCAGTAACAATACTGATCATTTTGGGGATTTAGTCATTGAGTTTTTCACTAGTGTTTATGAAGAGCCTGTCATCCCTGAATCAACCATTCTGTCAATTTCCAGGCATCTCATTAAGTGCCAAATCCTCTTTTCATTACTCACACAAGTCACAGGGAGATTTCACTGGGATGATTCAAATGAGTAAAGCAAGCAGTATTTTAGCCAAAATGAAAATTTAGGCCTAATTTTTCAAAAGTGGCTATTGATATTGGATGCCTCAATTTAAATATTGGATGCCATTTTAAAGGGTCTTGTTTTCAGAAGCTGGTTGCTCAGTACCTTCTGAAAATCAGGAGGACCCTTTAAGGTGTCTCAGGTTGGGCACCAAAAATTCGAGGCACCTCAGATCACTAATTACTTCAAAAAATTGGACCTCCCCCACTCTGTGTACTTTATTTTTGCATTTACCATGCCTCTCCTCCCAAATATAAATTATTTGTAGGTGGCTAAGGTGAAAAGTTGAGGAGCACTGTATTCCTTATAAGTCCTCACCAGTTCTGTTGTGGAGACATATGTCCAGGTGGAAATGGAAATGAGGCAAGATGGCTGCTAATGAAAGTCTTCTGGTAACTGCCATTTCCCAGCATCAACAAAGTAGCCTGAGATCCTAAACAAGAAAGAATCCATCTGAGCTGTATAGTAGTCTAGCAGGCAGGATAAATAACTCTTTCTAAGGATTCTTTCCTTAAGAACTAATCTTTTAAACTGGTTAGTTATAATATAGACAAGAGCATTTCTGTAAGGTGCAACCAAACACTTGCATTGAGCTGTATGGGATCCCCTTTGATATGTCACTTGCATTGCAGAGGAGGAGAGAATGGGAAAAAATAAGTTCTATATGAGATAGGAGAACATCCAGATGGAAACACCATTTTGACTGTGTTAAAAGTTTAAACATAGTCTCTATTTGCAATTATATTACAGGATAAGTAATACAATTATTGTCATTCTTAAAAGCCATTTAAAGGCTTATTCAAGTGAAGCATGTGTGTTTGCAAGATGTGGTAAAGCTACAAGAATTAGCATGGGGGGATTAAGCGGCAAGTTGTGTAGCTGAAACTACTTTTAACCCTTTTTTGATCTAATTGAGTGGATTTCAGGTTCTCCATTTAAATGTCTGACCTTCACCTGTAGGGAGATTGTTATGGAGGAAATAATTTAATTTCTTTTTTAAGGAAGTTTAATGCAGATTATATTTGACATTTTAGTCATACATCAGAAAAATCAAAGTTATGTTTTCCATGGACTAGAGCAGCCACCATTTTAGAACAAAGTTACTTGTTTTCATAGTGAAAAAAAAGACTATGGACCTATTTTCTTAAGGTTTTCACATATTTATAGTTCAAACAGCACAATGAATTGTATTCAAATTCCTTCCACAAACAAATAGTATGAATTAGAAGTTTTTGCCCAAAAGATAATTTTTAGTCCATTACAAGCAATTGAAAAATAGGGTATTAGAATGGAAGTGCAGTGATTCAAAGATATGGAGAAAGAGCTTAAGATTGTCAATGTAGGCCTCCCCAGTCTTAAAGTCACTCCCCATTCTCAAGTGGCAGCTATATATTTTCTCTGGAGTTTGGATCTTGACAAAAAGAAATTTGACCAAGAAATTTGGACCTTGACAAAAAAGAATTGATTACCCCTGCACTAGAGGTTGCTTATACAAAGCTGATTCTATATCCGCACTGTTTCATTGTAATGGATTATGCTGCCATTAAACATTTATTGCCTCTTAATTAAAAAAAAGACAATATTAATACTTATTTTTTCCCTTAGACAGGATGTCAGGCCAGGATTGCCAATGGTGAGGCATGTAAAAGAAGCTATTCAAAAAGAAGAAAAGCAGAAGGAAGCTAACCAGAAAAATAGACAAAAGAGCCTAAAAGAAGAGGAAAGAGAGAGACGTGACACTGTGTTGAAAAGTGCTTTAGGAAATGAAAACAAAGGCTTTGCTTTGCTCCAAAAGATGGGGTACAAAAGTGGGCAGGCCCTTGGCAAGAGTGGTAAGTTTGTTAACTTCTAGAATTTAGATGTGTGCCCATTTTTCAAAATGTGGGTTTAAAAGGGTACCTGTTACTAATACCGTTCCACCTTATCTCTGGATGAATTCAATGAATACCTCTATAAGAACTCCTGCCTGTTAGGGTAGTTCTTAACTGCCACCTTGGCATAGCAGAAGAAAGCACAGAAGGTGAGAGCAAGCCCTTAAAATCTCTGAAATAAAAAGGGTGAGGGATATGGGGGAATTGGAGAAGGAAGAAACAGTACTTGCTGCTAACTAAATGGTATTTCAAATATGGATGATGTTTTACAAAAATCTTACTATCTGTAGCAGGGCATAGCCTTTTGAATTTGGTGTTCCTTCCAAGCAAGTAACTTTTAAACATTAAAGAACCTATCTCCAATCTGCACAAATTTACAGCTTGATTCTGGAAAGGGATCTGTGCACACAGACGCTAAGTCCTTCTGCACGGAGCCCTAGTGAAGCAAAAATGTCACCTGGGATCTATCCAGAGTAAATCACTAGAGGATGAATAGATGTTGCACTCCATGAGTGAATAGTGAGGCTTAGTTAGTTAATGTTTGTAAAGTGTCTCAAGATTCTCATATGAAAGATGCTACAGAAGGGTGCAATGTATTATTAATTACTAATATGTTATACCTGTCAAATTAAGCTGTCCTTCTTTGGTGTATAGGGCAGCAGCCTGAATGCAGCACACAGCAACACTACAATTCAACAGAGAAAATAAGGAATGCCTGATCCACCGGTCCATTGTCAGTGCACCTTGATGCTTGATTTATCCATCTGTTAAAAAAAAATTACCATAAAAGCTAATTATTCAGTGGCAAAATCTTGTGTATACTTGGATAGGCTGTGTTTATGATTTGGGGAGAGACCTGACTTCATAAGCTGTCTGCCCTTTTTTCCTACAGGAGGCGGCATTGTTGAGCCTATTCCTCTGAACATTAAAACAGGTGTGTAATATTTACCTCTTTTAATTATCATAGAATCATAGAATATCAGGGTTGGAAGGGACCTCAGGAGGTCATCTAGTCCAACCCCCTGCTCAAAGCAGGACCAATTCCCAACTAAATCATCCCAGCCAGGGCTTTGTCAAGCCGGGCCTTAAAAACCTCCAAGGAAGGAGATTCCACCACCTCCCTAGGTAACGCATTCCAGTGCTTCACCACCCTCCTAGTGAAATAGTGTTTCCTAATATCCAACCTAGACCTCCCCCACTGCAACTTGAGACCATTGCTCCTTGTTCTGTCATCTGCCACCACTGAGAACAGCCGAGCTCCATCCTCTTTGGAACCCCCCTTCAGGTAGTAGAAAGCAGCTATCAAATCCCCCCTCATTCTTCTCTTCTGGAGACTAAACAATCCCAGTTCCCTCAGCCTCTCCTCATAAGTCATGTGCTCCAGACCCCTAATCATTTTTGTTGCCCTCCGCTGGACTCTTTCCAATTTTTCCACATCCTTGTAGTGCGGGGCCCAAAACTGGACACAATACTCCAGATGAGGCCTCACCAATGTCGAATAAAGGGGAACGATCACGTTCCTCGATCTGCTGGCAATGCCCCTACTTATACAGCCCAAAATGCCGTTAGACTTCTTGGCAACAAGAGCACACTGTTGACTCATATCCAGCTTCTCGTCCACTGTGACCCCTCGGTCCTTTTCTGCAGAACTGCTACCTAGCCATTCGGTCCCTAGTCTGTAGCAGTGCATAGGATTCTTCCGTCCTAAGTGCAGGACTCTGCACTTGTCCTTGTTGAACCTCATCAGGTTTTTTTTGGCCCAATCCTCTAATTTGTCTAAGTCCCTCTGTATCCGATCCCTACCCTCCAGTGTATCTACCACGCCTCCCAGTTTAGTGTCATCTGCAAACTTGCTGAGAGTGCAGTCCACACCATCCTCCAGATCATTAATAAAGATATTAAACAAAACCGGCCCCAGGACCGACCCTTGGGGCACTGCGCTTGAAACCGGCTGCCAACTAGACATGGAGCCATTGATCACTACCCGTTGAGCCCGACGATCTAGCCAGCTTTCTATCCACCTTACAGTCCATTCATCCAGCCCATACTTCTTTAACTTGGCGGCAAGAATACTGTGGGAGACCGTATCAAAAGCTTTGCTAAAGTCAAGGAATAACACAACACATCCACTGCTTTCCCCTCATTCACAGAGCCAGTTATCTCATCATAGAAGGCAATTAGGTTAGTCAGGCACGACTTCCCCTTGGTGAATCCATGCTGACTGTTCCTGATCACTTTCCTCTCCTCTAAGTGTTTCATAATTGATTCCTTGAGGACCTGCTCCATGATTTTTCCAGGGACTGAGGTGAGGCTGACTGGCCTGTAGTTCCCCGGATCCTCCTCCTTCCCTTTTTTAAAGATGGGCACTACATTAGCCTTTTTCCAGTCATCCGGGACCTCCCCCGATCGCCATGAGTTTTCAAAGATGATAGCCAATGGCTCCGCAATCACATCCGCCAACTCCTTTAGCACCCTCGGATGCAGCGCATCCGGCCCCATGGATTTGTGCTCATCCAGTTTTTCTAAATAGTCCCGAACCACTTCTTTCTCCACGGAGGGCTGGTCACCTCCTCCCCATACTGTGCTGCCCAGTCCAGCAGTCTGGGAGCTGACCTTGTTTGTGAAGACAGAGGCAAAAAAAGCATTGAGTACATTAGCTTTTTCCACATCCTCGGTCACTAGGTTGCCTCCCTCATTCAGTAAGGGGCCCACACTTTCCTTGACTTTCTTCTTGTTGCTAACATACCTGAAGAAACCCTTCTTGTTACTCTTAACATCTCTTGCTAGCTGCAACTCCAAGTGCGATTTGGCCTTCCTGATTTCACTCTTGTATGCCTGAGCAATATTTTTATACTCCTCCCTGGTCATTTGTCCAATCTTCGACTTCTTGTAAGCGTATTTTTTGCATTTAAGGTCAGCAAGGATTTCACTGTTAAGCCAAGCTGGTCGCCCGCCATATTTACTATTCTTTCTACACATCGGGATGGTTTGTTCCTGCAACCGCAATAAGGATTCTTTAAAATACAGCCAGCTCTCCTGGACCCCTTTGCCCTTCATGTTATTCTCCCAGGGGATCCTGCCCATCTGTTCCCTGAGGGAGTCAAAGTCTGCTTTTCTAAAGTCCAGGGTCCGTATTCTGCTGCTCTCCTTTCTTCCTTGTGTCAGGATCCTGAACTCGACCATATCATGGTCACTGCCTCCCAGGTTCCCATCCACTTTTGCTTCCCCTACTAATTCTTCCCTGTTTGTGAGCAGCAGGTCAAGAAAAGCTCTGCCCCTAGTTGGTTCCTCCAGCACTTGCACCAGGAAATTGTCCCCTACACTTTCCAAAAACTTCCTGGATTGTCTGTATTGCTCACCCAGCAGATATCAGGGTGATTAAAGTCTCCCAGGAGAACCAGGGCCTGCGATCTAACAACTTCTGTTAGTTGCCGGAAGAAAGCCTCGTCCACCTCATCCCCCTGGTCTGGTGGTCTATAGCAGACTCCGACCACGACATCACCCTTGTTGCTCACACTTCTCAACTTTATCCAGAGACTCTCAGGTTTTTCTGCAGTTTCATACCGGAGCTCTGAGCAGTCATACTCCTCTCTTACATACAACACAACTCCACCCCCTTTTCTGCCCTGCCTGTCCTTCCTGAACAGTTTATATCCATCCATGACAGTACAGTAATTGTTGGAGTTCACAGTCTCTCAGCTGCTAACAACAGTGTTTTGAACTTAAACAGGCAGAGGTGGGCTTGGTCATGAAGAATCACAAAAGCGGAAAGCAGAAGAAAGGCTAGAAAACTACAGAAGAAAGATTCATATGAAAAAACAAGCAGATGAAGATGCTGCAGATCAGTTTAGGTAAAACGATTTATTTTCATATGTTGTTGTAAACATTTTCAGGTAATGTAAAAAAGGATCCGGGTTTCACACTTATCTTAAAGTGGTACTGGCTGCCTCAAGTTTGACTATCATCAAAATGTCTTATCAATTCTGAATAACATTTGTGTGATGAGTGGGCTCTGGGGAGGGTAATTACCAACCATTTAAAAAGAAAAAATGATCTGACACACGAAAACTAAAATACATAAATTCCCTCTGCTGTGCCCCTTAATTACAATGGACATTAGCGATGCCAGGGGACAGACAAAATAATGTACCTATTGCCATTTGTTAGACGGTGCAACTTAAACAAGAAATCTGTTTTAAAAAGTATTTAAATGTAGCCTCCTCAGGGAAGACACATACGTACATATAAGTTTACAATGACGTTCTTAAGCTTCAGCACAGTCCTGTTTAGGATGGCCTTCTCTGATCCCGTCAGAGGACTGTATGCCTGTACAAAGGCATTACAAAGAGTTACAAATGTTGTGGGGAACCATGGTGTGTCTAAAATCTCAACTAGCTTTACATTACAATAAGTTCTTGCCTATAATGTGTGAATTTTTTATCTGCCTGTTGATTGTAGCTAGCTACTTTTTTATTGACAGAATGAGATTCAAAAGCAAACAAGAAGAACGTAAGATAGAAGGGGACCTTAGAAAAAGCCAGAGGGCCTGTCAGCAATTAGACACACAAAAGGTAAGGCTAATACGCTGCTTTGGGGTGGAAGGATGGTTTATAGTGTAGAGCAGGCTACAAATTCTTCAATCTTCATGTACAACAATATTATTTCACTTCTTAACAGTTTTGTATAATATTGGGTGTTATTGGACTGAAGTGGCAATGCTTGTCTCCCTGAGATGCCCTGTGTTACCCAGGGACCTTCTGGTGCCAACTGGCAGAGGGCACAGGGTGCATAAGGGTTATAGGGATCCCGTGGGTCTAGTATCTACATCCTAGTTCGCCAAAGGATGTCATGTAAGGTCTCTGCTGAAAGCCTGTGTCACACTGGTCATCATGATCATTATGAAATGTATGGATGGATAATATGTAAGGAGTTACGTACGTACGTGTGTGTGTGTGTGTATATATATAGAGCTGTGATCTAAGGTGTAACTGGCAAGCAGGGGTAGACTGTTCCTTTGGGAGCAGAGGATCTGGGAATTCTGTGAATGTCCAGTGGAACAGATGCTGGATACACCAAGCGTATCCTCAGAGGGCTTGGGGGTGGTGTGTGCCTATTGCTAACTTGCTAGTAGCCATCAAGAGCCTGTGTCCCATGGTCCAATAGAGCTCATATGGGACAGAAGTTACATCCTTGGGCTTAAAGGCAAGAAATACGTTCCACCTGAATTCATTTTGGTGTGTAAGCCTTTTAAGAACACTTCAGACATCAGCTAGAAGGCCTCTTCCGCCTTACTGATCATTTACTATTTATATGTCTCATGGTAGCTTGTGTCAGGCTATCAGATTGGTGGCGGTGTCTGGCTCAGAGGAGGCTGCTCACCTGCCATCCCAGACGAGGGAGGAGCTTCACAATGATGGGCATGTGCAGACTCAGGATTTTTAACTGCAAAATCATAAAAAGAGCCTTCTGAAAGTGGACATGGGCAATAAAGAGAACCAATGACAAAAGATACAATAATAGTTTGCTGTGCAGTCTTGAACTTTACCAGCATATCTGGCACGGAAGTTTATTTTAGCATCTCTTTAAATTTGTTTTTAAAAAGCAACAAACCCACAAATAGCCCTTGCTGTGGTCCAATGTGGTCTAAATTTGATCAGTTCTATTCTTGAAGCTTCAGTGTCTCAAGATCATAATTTATAACAAAGTTTATAAAGTGGTACTTGTCCCATTATAAACTGTGTTCATCAGGCATCTGCTGGAGAAACCTATAGAGACAGAGAGAACTTTGCTTGTAATTTTTTTTATTTTTAAGGATATTAAAGTTCCCAAGGAGATTTGGTACTGGACAGAACCTGAGCAAGAAGAAAAGGATCAAGAGGAGGAAGAAAAGGATGAATACAAAGGTTCAGACTTAAGTGTGAGTGCTGAAACATAAGTTAGTATGAAGCTGTCTTCATTTGTAAAACATGCATGTGTGTGTATATACACCTCTACCCCGATATAACGCGACCCGATATAACACGAATTCGGATATAACGCGGTAAAGCAGTGCTCTGGGGGGGCGGGGCTGCGCACTCCGGCGGATCAAAGCAAGTTCGATATAACGCGGTTTCACCTATAACGCGGTAAGATTTTTTGGCTCCCGAGGACAGCTTTATATCGGGATAGAGGTGTAGATCAAAGCTCTAATAAGTGGCCTCTCTTTCTGCCTCGCAAAGTGATTTTGCAATAATATTAGATGGAGTATAAAGCATGATTATACTGATTTGGAGTAAAAGAGCAAAATTAAATGATAACACTACCTCACCTTTGGGCCAAGATTTTCAAGAAAGTAATGATTTTGGGTGTCTTATTTTTAGGTACCCAATTTGACACTTGATGGGTCTAGTTTTCAGAAAATGCTGAGTAATTGCCTCTAAAAATCGGGGCCCTCCAATCCGTCACTTTTGAAAATCATGCCCTTTATGCCCAAGAACCCACTAGTGTTGTTATTCTAATGAACTCAGTCTGTGGCGGAGATGGGTGATAAAAAAAATCCCATCAGGAACATCATTCACTTGAAATAAGGTATTTTTAGTTGTTCAGTAGGGAAAATAAAGAACAGCCAACATCCTTTAACCAGCTAGCTCGCCATAGATCATTGGCGCACCACAGGCCACAATTTGGAGACTTCTGCTGTAGTATCAGTTACGGTGTACTAAGGTTTCCATGTTTTTGATTGCAGTATCGTGTGATCTTTCCTTAGTGAGCCCTTTTTAGCACCAGAACTATTGATTAGCAGGGAAGACAGTGCACCCCAGGGGCCCATCCCAGACTGTTCGATTGTGATTCCTACTCAAAGCTATAAAATATATTTCTCTGTATGTATATATGTAGGTATTAGAGAAATTACAAATCCTGACTGCCTATTTAAGAGAAGAGCATCTTTATTGTATCTGGTGTGGAACAGCATATGAGGGTAAGTGTTAAATCCATCTTGGATATAATTTTCCTTTGGTTATGTATTTGGAGCCATATCCTGCAATTCTTATTTATTCTTTATCCCAGCAAAATTCCCATGGAGGCCAGTCCCACTACTGTTATCCTTGAAAGTAACTTTTGTATATATTGACTGGATTCAGTCATTTCTCCTTTCTTGGGTTTCAGAACTAGTGAATGATCAATATTGGGCTCTGAATCAGTATTTTGTGGCCAAATTGGTAACATTCTCCTCTGAAACATCCCTCATCAGTCCCACATGTACCACCTTTCTATTTTATAAGAACTTCAAACTACAACACTATTTGGAATTAACTTAATCTGTTTGTACTGTTTCTCCATCACCTTTTTTCTGACTCCCCACCACTCTCTTTTTAAATAATATTTAGAAGATTATAGATCTTTTCTTCCCATATCTGAAATATTAACCTTCTTTTCCTTTATGCTGTAGAGGCTGCAGATTTATCTTCAAACTGCCCTGGAGATAGTTCAGCAGATCACGACTAAAATCTTTGTAATAAAAGGAACTCTGGAAAAATATTGTTGATTAACAGCAGTATTTTAAAATCTCTCCATGGGACATCAAGAATTCACACAAGTACTGCAGGTGGAAAGACATATTGAAAGGTTCAGAGCACACTTTTGAAAGCACAGAAGCAGTTGTAGATTTTAGATTTTTTTTAAAAGTGAAGCTAGTCATTGAACTCACTATTTAATAAGAACTACAAATTTACATATGTACTTAATGCTAAATAATTTAGGTGCAGGCAGGAGTTTTGCAGGTTTCTACCAAACTAAAAACTGCAATTCCAGTCTTGCACCTCAGAGGACTGGCAGCTAACTGCACCAAATTGTTATGGTTTATGATTTCTGTACACCAGTTGGAGGTACCTAGGTTCAGACTGCTAAATTTGTGTGTGTGTATATATGTGTGATTGTGGACAGATGGAGATTTGAAATGGACAGTACTTGACTTTGTAACCAACATTTTAAAGGCTTCCCTGGGGGAAAAACACTGCCCTTCCTTTCCCAGATAACATAAAGCATGGAATAGAGGATAATCACTTGACAGTGAATATTGGTTAAGTCTTTATAGTATACAGTGTTAGACAAGTCATTTAATATGCGTCCTTCAGTAGGATGTCTGATTTGAATCTTAAGTTTATTTTTTGTCAACATAATCAGCCAGATATGTGAACTCTGCTGGTTGAAAATGGTCTCACCTTGCACAAAGTATTTGGCTTCATCAATCTCTATTGCTTAATGTAAATATGGATGTTTGTATAGAAACTCTAAATTTCATTAATTTAGTGGGTATTTCTGAAGTGTTTTGTTCATAATTAAACAGCTTTTTGTAACTATCTTTTTGTCCAACTTGGTTCCATTCAGTCAATAGCTATTGAACAGTGGCAGCATTGTCCAGGAGCAGCAACTGCTAGTGGAAGTAAATCCATAACGATGACAGAAAAAGGAGCTGAACTAGAAGAATTAGCTTTTACTGTAAGGCAGGCAGCAGCTTGTGTTAGACACATCATAGAGTTGGACTGAGACAACCACCTACACATCAGTTGTGGTGAACAGAGACTTTACTGTCGTAAATCTTGAAGTTTAATGGGCAAGTGACAGAGGACCTCTTAGTTATTGCATGCCAGCTGCCAAGGAAAAACGTGCCAGTAAGAAGATGTAACACGTGGCACGTTCACGTCTCACAAGCACCCCCTTGGCTGAGTGCATGTGCCTGCACTTTCTCTGTTTGTGGTAGGTCTTCAGTGACTCAGCCCTCTGGTCAAGTCACACAGTCTGAATGTGAAACGCAAACAAACCCCTTCCAGGGAAACCAGTCTAACAGGGGCCTATCCCAGTATCCCATGGTTGGAATATCTCTGTAGCCCTCCCTGGACCCCATACCTGGTATGGGGGCTTTGCTGCTAGGGCTTTCTCCCTGGAGACTCTTCACCCTCTTAGGGCCTCCCTTGGCCCCATACAGTCTTCAGCCTGACCTCAGGGCTCCGTCTCAATCTCCCCAGCTTCTGTCAGCACTGCTCTGTCCAAGGTCCTGCAGCTCCCTCAGTCAGTTACACACCATCCATGCTCCTCCAGCTCCAGCAAGGAACTGAACTCACTCTGGCCCTGCAGCTTGTTTTATACCAGGGGTTCTCAAACTGGGGGTTGGGACCCCTCAGGGGGTCATGAGCTGTCAGCCTCCACCCCAGACCCCACTTTGTCTCCAGCATTTATAATGGTGTTAAATATATTAAAAAGTGTTTTTAATGTATAAGGGGGGGTCGCACTCAGAGGCTTGCTGTGTGAAAGGGGTCACCAGTACAAAAGTCTGAGAACCCCTGACTTATGCTGACTTGCTGGGTGTTGACACAGCCACTCTAGGCAGCTTGGAGGATCCTCTCCACTGCCCTTTTCTGGGACGGTGTGGCAGGGCACAAGACCTTCAGCAGATGGCTTCAAAGTGTCTGGCATACTCTGTCACAGATGAATATTACAGAACTTTCCCTGAGAGGAAAGGAAATCCAATTAGGTGGCTTTTCTCTGTGCTAGGATCTCACTGGCCTCTTGCGTCACTAGGAAAGAGGAATTAGTCCAAAACAGGAAGATGTCAAACATTTGTTTTAATGGGGAAGAAAGCACTTACATTCACCTCAAAAAAACTGAGCAAAGCTTACATTTATTCTCATTCATTACAGAAGAATCCACCACACGTTTAGAATTTATATACAACTGAACACTATCAGCAGGCCAGCACCAAATTTCCCTACTTCAGAGAGCACAAACTTAGGAAGACATCTGCTTTCCTGCAGTGGTTGGGGTTTTTTTAAGGCATACTATTCATTCTAATAGAAAGCCAGATAATGCTAATACTTGATCAGTATAAGAACAAAAATTATGAATTTATTCACTGTTTCTAAGAATCAGAATAGCTATCTACAAACATAATATTGTAAATTTGGGCCCTATTTTTGCAATGGGCTCTGTGTAGGTGGACCAATGGGTCCCTACATAGGCACAAGGATGTCAGCAGGCAGATCCCTGCTCAATGCAAGACTGGGGCCTTATTTCTAAGAACAGCTTTTAAAGAACGGTTATGCTACCCTTTGGCACTGATATGTTGTAGTGATGAAAGCATTAAAAATGCCTATGACAGCCTGATTCCTACCTCCAACTGCTCTTTATAAGCACAGCCAGGACTTTTATATTAAAACATGCCCCCCAAAAATCTAACTATGCAACCAAATGTTAAAGACCCAACTGAACCCCTTGATCTTATAGAGGATGGGAGAGTGAAGCTGCAGAGCCAAGGGAAAGGCTCAGAAATTGGGCACCTCTAGGACAGGGTTGGTAGCCTGGGGGAAGAGAGAAAAAGATTGGGAGTGCAGGGAGGAGATGGTATTTACTGGGCTCGCTCTCCCGCTCTCCACAACTTATTGGAGATTGTTTCCTTGCTCTGAAGGTCCCTTGGCCTCTTATTGATAGCACCCTCCACAACCACTTGGTCTGTGGCACCTGCCTCACCACAACTCATATCCATGCAGAGGTGCTGGAACTAGGAGTGCTGGGGGTGCTGCAGCACCCCCTGGCTTGAAGTGGTTTCCATCATATACAGAGTTTACAGTTTGGTTCAATGGCTCTTAGCACCCCCACTATACAAACTGTTCCAGCATCCCTGTCTCCATGTGGTATATATATATATAAAATGGGGGAGTGAGGGGCTGTCACTGACTCTTCTCCTGGGAAGTGGACAGAGATTGAAGACCACATCATTATTATGAGGCTACTACTGAGGGAACATTGTGGAGCCCAAGCAATCGACACAGCTGACTTGGGTAGGACGCGGATTTACATTTCAGAGACAAATCCCAATCTTCAAAAGACCAAAAACAGATCTTATCTGTTAACTCAGTATTCAAACTGTGGAGGTGTGGAGGAACATTTGGGAGAGGGGGAGAAGGCAAGTGGCAGAGCTTGAGGAGGAAGTCCCATCTCTACCCCGACTTGCCTCTTTTTGTCTGGGTTTGGGGGCTACAACCAAAAATTGTAACTCAAAGGGAGGGCTCAGCTCAAAAAGTTTGAAAACTGCTGTGTTAACTCATTGTGACACCTGGTTTCTATAAAGTGAATCATTAAACTGAGCTTTAATTCTCAAAGGGACACATTCTTTAAGAGCCTAAATAGTTTTAAATTCTTCATTGTTTGAAACACCCTCATTGTATTAGCATTATTTATACAGCACCAGCAATTTGCTAATAATTTAACATTCAGATATAAAGACAAAAAAAAACAAAAGCTTGCAATCTTCAAATATGTATAACATTTCTAATGCTTTCTTACCAAATTTTGTCATTTTCCATTTGGCAAACATTAACTTGTCCGGTGTTTTTAAGTGGAGTGAAATTTATTATACTAATGTAATAAACAACTTAAAAGGTGCTTTAACAGATATTTTGGTCAAGATATTTTGATCCATGTGCCAGCAACAAGCATATTAGCTATTGCTAATTATATGTAGATACCAATCGGCCAGAAAAGAGCACACAGCACAGACCTTGTCTAGAGAAGACTCCAGCTATTTTCCCCACAGTGTTAGACAGTAATAAAGACACATGAACCTTCTCTACACGAGAGGCTATATATTCACAAAGGGGACTTTTAGGTGCCCTGCCTCTTAGTGGAATTCACTGTCCTGAGTTAGGCACCCAGGCTTTCTGTACAATGCATGGGGAGAGTTAGAATGGGATTCACAAATGCCAGCCCACTGAGCCTACTAGATAGCTTAGGTGGAAATGCTGTGGAGAGTGATGTGGTCTTTGCCAGGGATTCTCAACCTTTTTCTTTCTGACACCGCCACAACATGCTATAAAAACTCCACAGCCCACTTGTGCCACAATAACTGGTTTTCTGCATATAAAAACCAGAGCTGGCATTAGGGGATAGCAAGCAGGGCAGTTGCCTGGAGCCCCATACCCCACGTGGTGGGCTCCAGGCCCCATGCTTCAACCCCATGTGATGGGGCTTCAGCTTTCTGTCCTGGGCCCCAGCGAGTCTAACACTGGCCCTGCTTGGTGAACCCCCTGAAAGCTGTCTGTGGCCTCCCAGGGGCTTAAGGGAGTTGAGAGCCTAAGTCCCAACTAGAGGAAGACACCTACCTCCACTTCAGATTCACACCTTTCTCCTGGAGTTAGACACCTAAGCCAGGTTAGTCATTTTTCATGAAAAACCACAAAGGAGGATTACCCCATAGCACAGCAGTTAGAGCCCTCACACAGGATGTGGGAGATCTGGGTTCAAATCTCTACACTGCCTGATGTGAAGAAGGGACTTGAACTTGGGTTTCCTACCTCTCAGCAGGCTGACCTAACCACTAGAGTCACTCACACTCTTTCTCCGGCCCCATGAATATTTCATTATTTACTATAAAGTGGAGCAGCTGCAACAAGAGATTGAAACCAGTGGTTTGGATACTCTCATGGGAGGTGGAAGGACCCAGCAGAATAGAGATTTGACCCCAGGTTTCCCACATCCTGGGTGAGCATATCCAGCCACAAAAAGTTGGGACCCTCTGGGACTTCACCAGTAGAAACTCAGTCACCTTGGGACTTTAGGGGCCTACAGGGTTAGATGGCAGCTGAGCAATGATTTTGTGAGTGCAAGTGGTGCCTAAATGTTGGACTTAGGTGCCTAACTGCTATACTAGGCACCCAAGTCCCTCTTGTGAACCTAGCCCTAGCACTTCCACCCATACAGCCAGAAGTGGCAATTTTTCCTAAAATTTCCTACTGTAAAATACCCACAATATTTCTAGGTGACATAAAAATAAATGGTTATTGCTGGGAGAGAGCAAAAGATTTAAAACAGCAGGCGGCAGCAAACCTAAGAATAAAAGGTCAAAACCTGCCTTCTTCCTACTTATGGAAATAAGAGGCCCTCTGCACCGGACCTGCTGACGTTCTGTTGTACAGCAGGGGCAGACTGTAGACAGACCTCTCCACCCCAGGAAGTACCATGGTGGTTCCCTCCACAGCAGTCCATGACTGCTGATCCACCTATAAAACACGACACCCACCACCTGCCCACAGGTGAGAAAGGACAGGGGCACAAGGCTTCAGACTATGGGGTGTAAGTAGAAATTTATACTGATGCTCTGGATCACAAGAAGAGGCTTTCATTCCCCCAATCCCTGCAGAGATCCCCATGTAAAGCCTGGTTTTGTAAAGGACAATAGGATTGAACCTAAGATTCCAAATACATTTGTCACATTTCAGCAATTTTAAGGGGGGGGGGTGTCAAATTCTGGACCGAAACAGAGCTTATGTTGTTCCTTTAGAGATAGGGTGCCTAACATGTATGTGCG